CTCAGCGAAGGGTGATGAGGGAAGCAGAGTGTGCACGTGTGTGCATGCATGCATATGTGTGTGTGGGAGAGCTCTATTTAAGGGAACAGGAGGCAACAGCAACATACCAAACTCTTGCTTACACAGCTCACGCCTAACTGCACATGAAGTCAAGTGTATTGTGGGCTTTCAGTCATATTCGTTTAATTTTTTTCTGTTATTATCATTATCTGTGCCACGACACCTCACCTCATTATTATTACGTATAGAGCTCGTACATAAAAAAGGATGTGGGCTAATGTAACATTTATCTAAATGCTGGGGTATTTTAATTTGGTTACTTGAAACATCAAGCACCATATCTGTATTTATCTGTACAGTAATGTTAATTCACCCCTCTTTCAGATTCTTATATTATATTCAATAATTTATTCAGTAAAGGCTTATAGTCGGATGATATAAATTTATCTCCGCACATCAGGCAAACAGCATCCTTCACCTGATTGGTCGCCAAAAGCCTCCGCCCCCTGTAGATCACGTGACCAAATAATGACATTAGGCAGCGCGGCGGATCAGCCGATGGTATGTCCAATCACCTGACCGCTGTTTGAATATTGATGCTCTGCCTGCCGCCACATTGCTACGCCTTTCCCATGCTGCTGCTGTTGTTGTTGTCTGATATTGTTTGAGTGGGACCGTCGTAAAATCGAGAAAGAAAAATGTCCTCGCTGCTTAAGCCATTTTCGGTGTGTGAGGGGCCTTGCGAGAGCTGCGGTGTGAGGAGAGGATGCCAGAGCTCGGCTCCGGATCGGCAGCCTCCATCCCAGCGTCCGGCGGCGGGCCTGGGCGCTGTGCCGGCACACCAGCGGTCGTACGCGGCGAGGAGGAGCCTTGCGGCTGCCGCGATCGGAGGGAGGAAAATAACACATCCCGGAAAGGCCATCCTCGCAGGTTGATTTTACGACCTATTCAGCCGGCAGATCCCCACCCCTGCTCTCATAGCCGCTTAGTGCTTGCCACACACAACCAGCGCAGACTAATCTCAATCTGTCGCCCATTAAGACTGACCATGCAGAACTGGGTCAAAGCTGCAGTGATGCTACTGCATGATGTAGCTGCACGTTAGTGTTAGTCTTTAATGCACCTCTGAGGTAATCTAAAAATGATGTAAGGGATGCTGAAGGGATTGTGCTGCAGAACCATCTCATCTTTTTGTTTTTTTCTTTCATGCGGAAGTAGAAAATGCTGGCAAGGTCTCTTTCCCCCCTTTGCTGCCCTAAGAACATTCAAGAAGAGTTGTGCACAGTGAGCGATTCTCCCTCTCCCCTTGTCTCCTCATTCAGGTGGCATCGCAGGAGGAATCGAGATCTGTATCACCTTCCCTACAGAGTATGTCAAGACCCAGCTGCAGCTAGATGCAAGAGTAAACCCCCCGCGATACAGAGGGATTGGTAGGTCACTGGGACATACATGTGAAGTTGGTCTTGTGCTGGTCTACTCACTCGTGGGCATGCTGTGTACTTACAGGTGACTGCGTGAAGCTGACTGTGCAAGACCATGGGCTCAGGGGGTTGTATAGAGGTCTCAGCTCCCTGCTGTATGGCTCAATACCCAAGTCTGCAGTCAGGTGAAGATGCATGTATCATATAGAGTAGTTTAATATAAAGATTATGTGAGAACCCCCCCCACACACACGCACACACTCGAAACAATTCAAAAGGAATAAAAGAAGCGTGGCTGTGATAGGGAAGCACTTGGGCCTCTTGCATCCTTTTGTTTTGCAGAATCACAGATGAGCTGGGTTGCAAACTTGAAACTGATGAAGCAGCTGACTGATGTTGAATCAGTGACACAGCATTTCTTAGTACTTAGTTAACCAGCATCTATGTTTTTCAAACTGGGCTTTTAAACATGAAAAGAGACCATAAAGAAAAAGCAGCAGTGTACACTCACTCTAGATAACGTTTTTGTCCTGTCTCCCCCCTCACCCCCAACCAGTAGCAGCAGATGACTGCCTCTCTCTAATCCTGGTTCTGCCGGATGTTTATTCCTGTTAAAAGAAAGTTTTTCCTTCCCACTGTCACCAAAGTGGTTGCTCACAGGGATCACCTGATAGTTGGGCTTTTCTCTGTAACTGTAGGGTCTTTACCTTACAATAATAAATGCCTTGAGGCAGCTGTTGTTGTGATTTGGCACTGTATAAATGAAATGGAATTGAACTGAATAGATAAATTGCATTTCAAACCAGCCGCTTTATTTGTTTTGATAACTTTTGCCAGTATTGCTCTGGTGGTGACCCGGTCAATCAACCAATCTTTCTTACAGGTTTGGCATGTTTGAAATGCTCAGCAATCCAATGCGAGATGCGACAGGGCGGCTAGACAACACACGGAGCCTCTTGTGTGGTTTGGGCGCCGGAATAACAGAGGCAATAATAGTGGTCTGCCCCATGGAGACGCTCAAGGTTCGTTGGAGGAGCGTGTGTGTGACTACACGGGTCTGTCGTGTCATCAGTGAGTAAACTGGTCTTATGAAATCTTGCAGGTGAAGCTGATCCACGACCAGTGCTCCCTCCGGCCTCGCTACAGAGGCTTCTTTCACGGAGTCAGCGAAATTATCAGAGAGCAAGGTAAGAGAAGGAAATCTAAAGCAGCCGAGTGGTTGTAACTACAGATGCGCACGTGTGCTTGCGTTTCACATTGAGTCAAACTGTTTTAACCCGTTCAGGCGTGAGGGGGACGTATCAAGGTCTAACGGCAACCGTGCTTAAACAAGGAACGAATCAGGCCATCCGATTTTATGTCATGAACGCACTTCGCAATTGGTACAAAGGTGAGAAAGTGTGCTTTGCTCCAATATCATGCAAGCGTACTGCCTGTTAGAGCAGTCACAGTTGACTGATGGGCTTCCCTCCCCATGGGTTGGACATTAATGCATGTTTGGATTTGACCTCTAAGGGGATGATTCCAGGAAAGAAATGCACCCAATCGTCACAGCCATGTTTGGAGCAACAGCGGGAGCGGCTAGCGTTTTTGGAAATACACCTCTGGATGTCGTTAAGACCAGGATGCAGGTAGGGAAGCATAAGTTCTAATGAATTTCTTGCTGTCGTCTGGTTATCTTTTTGAAAACCATTGTTTTACTGGTTTGTAGGGTTTGGAGGCTCACCGCTACAAAAACACAATGGACTGTGCCTTCCAGATCTTGAAACAAGAAGGACCGCAAGCGTCAGTAACTGATATCCTCCTTTTCTAGCTTGTCTTCGTTTTTTTTTGTTTTGTTTTTTTAAATCTTACATCTAACCTCATCTCGCCTTGTTGTCGTCCTCCTGCAGGTTTTATAAAGGGACAGTTCCCAGGCTTGGCCGCGTGTGCTTGGATGTGGCCATAGTCTTCGTCATCTATGAGGAGGTGGTCAAACTGCTTAACAACGTGTGGAAGACCCAGTAGACGGGAGAGGTGGGGGGAGCACAGACCAGTGCCTCATGCTATGCACAACTGAACACCTCTAATCTCGTTCTTGATCAATTTGATGGCCACGAGCAGATGACATGTCGTCTCGGCCAGTCTCCACACTGTTACACATTCTAAATAAATTAAAAGACTCTAAACAAAGTGACTGAAAAGGAAAAGCAGAGATGTTAGTTGCACCAAATAGTTCAATGTCAGACTAACAGGAGATGATTTGATTTTGAAGGGCGAGACGAGGGGAGGACGTGTTCGGTGCACCTGACCTAACTTGTAAGCTCGGTTTTGTAAATCTCATCATCACAAACATGATATAACAAATGGAAACGTTTTGACTCAAAGGTCCAAATTTAGAAGGGGAACAAAAGGGAAGAAAACACATGACCACTGTTTTAGCTTTTGATGACTGTTGTTACCTTACATGTTGTAGAGTGAACACTTTGTAACGAAACCATTAATGTGTCTTTTGACTCACTGAGTACTTACTATACTGAGCAGAGAACGACAGAGAGGGCGATGCTTTAACACATCTGTGCAGTGTTTCAACACATCATAGCGTTGCCGTTGCTTACCCTGCTGTGCTTGTGGCATCACCGCACTGTAACATTCACAGGATATCTTTTCTGTGTCTCTATGATGAACTCTGAGATGAACATTTTACAGCCGCTGCTGTGTACAAAGTATTGCTGCATGTATGTTACTGTGGCATCAGTCTAACACACTGACAGTGGCTCGCAGGCTGCTCAAGGCTACACAAACTGGTCTGGAGCCTGTGCCTCTCCAGCGGATCATTTCAGGGTCTCAACCTGTCAGAAGTGATGATTAATCTAGTGATGTAGGAAACAAATCTGCATGTAGCGCAGTCTTTACACGGGGATTTGGTGAGCTTTTGGTTGCTAATCTGGTAAGATTCTTAAAGCTTTGAATTCTCTACAGCAGCACACGAAGGCTTCATTTGGGAATATTTGATCCGTATTGCTTTATTCTGACCCTCAGTCTGAACCATTTAAGCAAATGCAGGCGTGAAGCATGGGGGGAAGAAAGGTTGTGCCAAGCTGAAAATAAGCCATATTACTTTAATAATCTTCAATCTTCAGCTGTTCTGCTTATGGATTCACTCATCAAAAGGACTAATTGGACATTAAGCAATTTTAAGATTCTTTAACTGAAGGTCAAGCATCTCAAAAGCTAAAGATTGCTAAAATTGCTAATTAGCTCCTCTAATTTACTTCAGTACTACAAGTTTTCAAAATATTGGCACAATTTATAATTTTTAATCTGCAACATGTAGTAAACATATTTTTTTTCCTCCATATCACATCTACAGCGCCTGAAACTTCCACAGTACCATGTCAGAAGCTCAATCAATGGGGGAGGCTCAGATTTGATTGACCTGGTGGCACCACAGAAGCCTTTGTCCTCTTTGCCAAACTGCTTCAGCAGGATCTCTAGCATAACGTCCTCAATAGCAGAAAATCTTTAAACCATGAGCAGCAAAATATTGTTTGTTTAGGTCTCTACCACCGTTTTCACTTATTAATGCACTTTTTAAAAAAAAACAAAAAACTGTTTGGACTTTGTGTTTAAGGTTTACTGCTTTTCATACGTAGGGGAAACAGCATTTGAGATTTGGCAGTCACTGTTGATCCCTGCTGGGCACATTAAAGGTTTGGTGTTTTTGTTGAAAACCATCAATGCTCATGTATGATGCATATAACCAGATATTACTAATAAACTTGTGATTATTATGCCTGAGTGAGTGAGTTTGATTACTCTGGTCTACCAAAAAAAAAAAAAGAAAAGAAACGTTTGCTACTGGGAACTTCAGACCAGATCTTAGTCTACTTATTTTAAATAATTACAGAAAGCGTGTCCAATTTATGTTTCGACAGTTCAAAATAGCACAATATCTGGGTTTCAATTTCCCACTAAAGATGCTTTGATCCATTTGTTTTGAAAACAAACCACAAGATGATACCAGAGTCGTGTTTAAGCAGATTTCTGCCGATTTAGCTCAAAATAATGAGGTCAGAGTGCTAAAACATGTTTGAGGCACTTGCTTTTCCGTTTGTACTGCACATCAATCTCACTTTGCAAGAACCAACAGCAGTTACCAATCATGCTCAGGATTAAAAATTTCCCTGATATCAGCTTCCATCACTGTTATATCTTGATGAAATCTTTCCCCGTGCTGATCACAGAGATTTGGTGGACAAAGTGGAGAATGTAAAAAGTGCCCCTTCAGTAAACTGGCACTCATTAGCTGATAAGCTTTCAGGATGTTATCCACCAGCTCAGTATAAACCTCTGCTCAGTGATTGCCAAGAAAATTCTGGAAAACCTGCTGCTGATTCAGTTGGCTTTAGTTTCCTTTTGAACTCATCCTCAAACATTTATTCACAGATTTCAGGACCAACAAAAAACACCTTCCTTAAATTTGGCCTCACTTGAGAATAAACATATTTCTTAAATGCCAAAAAGAATCACTGCTTCTCTCTGGTCATCATTGTCGTCCAATACTTCAATGTGCCACACAAAAATGATTTTCAGATGTGGAGCTGGCACGTGTTAAAGTTCAGGTGAAAGAATCCAAGCAGCAAAATGCTTGTTAACCAGGTTAACATCCTTCACTGCTGAATCCCAACAATATCCAACTGTTTATATTTTTATCAACAGTCATAATGTAAACAGTGAGTCACTGCACAGTAGTTTGAATAAGTTCAAGTTCCAGCAAACAACCAACAGCCTAATTACATCAGAGGACAGTTTGAAGTGGCTTTAAAACCTGACAAGGTTCTGTTGAAGGCACAAAACTGCTGCTTTCACTGATTAGTTAAAAATATTTATTTATACAGTAAGAACTGCCATTACATATTTCTGGAAATCTTGATTTTATAAACAAATCCGATGATTGGCGGTGGAGTTCATACCTAACAGAGCTCAATACACTTCCCATTTAGGTAAATAATGAATATATTTCACATGCTGGTTTCCACCAGTGCTTTTATAATAAACGATCACTTAAAGTGGATGAACACTTTAAGCTGATTCTTGAGTGTGATCAGGAAACTAATATAAACATGCTGATTTATATTTACATTCCTGTAACAAAAATGGTCAACCTGGCATTTCCAGTGCGGGCTGTGACTCAAACAGAGTTGGTGACACTTGGCTTCACCACAGAGGCAGAAAAATCAGCAGATTGCAGCTTTGCTGACAGGAGATTAAAGGCTGAAGGAGCACGGCGAGCACCATCTGCATTTACATCACAGAGGAAGGCTTCACTGCCCCCACCCGATACTCACAGTTTATCTAGTGAGGCCTAAGGTGACACAGTAGCAAACACGGTCCTGAAAATATGCAGTTCCTTGCTCCAAAATAGGAAACCATAAACATGTGTCAGGATCGGTTTCAATAGATGCACAACCTTGTTTGGCTTTTAACCACATGTGCATGGCAACTGAGCACGTTTCTGAAGCCATGTCAGAGCGCCTGATCTAAAATTGAATTGTATACCAAGATGAGACGATAATAGGAGATGGTATACTACACATTACAATCTACTTGCAATAAATTTAAGAGGCAGATGATTTTACATTCTGGTTCATCCGATTGCTTTTAAGCTCTTGCACTGTTAATATTCCCACATGGGCATTTGTATTGTGACTGCATTTGCATTCTCTGACACTCCCACTAGTGACAGATACTTATGAAGTCAAATGGGTAATTAGATAAAGTCTAGCTGCCCTTGTTCCAGCTGTCAGCTGTTTGGAAGGAAATGATGTGACAATCCTTTGTCAAAGTCCAGAAATAGAAGAGAATTGTGGTTATCTTCTCCATCTAAAGAAAGAAAGAAAGAAAAAAAACAACACAAGGTAGATGTTTTAGGTGTGCAGAAATGCTGAAACTCTGATAAACAGATGGATGGATGGACAGGTTGACTGGAATCATACTCACATTCTGAGACACTTGTCTTTTCCGCCACTGGCCACTCTCTGCCCATCAGGACTCCAGTCCACAGCGTAAACCTGCACGGATAAGACTTAAGGTAATTCAGGAACAGTAATCAGCATTTAGAAGGAAGTATTTATATCAAATTTCCTTCCCCCACCTCATCAGCATGACCTGGCAGGTCCATGTTGAGCTTCCCACTCTTAATATCCCACACTTTAAGCGTGCTGTCGCTGCTGCCGCTGACCAGCAGCCTGCTGTCTGCTGACCATGCTATTTGATACACTGATGCCACATGGCCACGCAGGGACATTAAGTACCTGTGGGCAAAAGGACACAAGCAGGTAGAGTCATAATCTCTAAGATGTACATCTTTGGCTGTACAGCACCATCGCCTGGACAAAAGTTGTATTACTTGCAAATTAATTTATTATTCCTTGTGATGGTGATTCTCTTACTTTCCAGTGCGTCCGTCCCAGATTTTAACAGACTTATCGAAGGAGGCAGAGGCAAGAAGCCTGGTGTCTGGGGAGAAGAGCACTTCATTGACCAGAGCGCTGTGGCCCGTCATCCTGGCCAAAGGCTTTTTGTCTTGTGCAGGATTCCACAAGAACAAAGTGAAATCATCTGAGCCGGAAACCAAGCGCTCTGGAGCTGAGCCCTGCAGCAGAAGATAAAGGTCAGGGCGCTAAAACAGGGAGGAAGGACATGTGACTTTTTACAAATCTCAACAAAGGGTACCTACCCTGACTTTATTATATCTCTCTAAGGCTTTCTCCTTCAGCTCTTCCACTGGAGAGAAGAAGAAAAACTTGTTATATGAAAACAACCCCCTTTAACTTTGTGAGACCAGAAAGGTGACCGAACACACAGCAGCCATGCTAGCTGTATCTGTGCTGCCAAAACACTCTAATATCACACATTTTTTGCTACTAAAAAAAACCTGTCTAAATGGTAAAATGTCAGACCGTGTGGTGCATATGTGACACTTTGTTTTCTGGAGTCAAACCTATTAAAAAGTAAATGCTAAACCCCCCCAAAACAAAACAAAAACAAACACTCACCATACATGGCAATGATCAGTTACTAAAAATCAGAATGTTAAAGAACATGCAAGTGTTTTGGGTCTTACATGATCCAGTGAGATCCTGAGGGTTGACAGTGGCATTTGCGGGTTCAAAAGCTCCTGTACGCAGGACATAGTCAGTGCTGAGAGCCAGGGTGTTGACCCAGTGGGCGTGGCCCTGCAGAGTCCTGCATTGGACACCCTGCATCAAAGAGATGAAACTAAACACACGTTTCATCCAAACACTTCACGGATTTCTCTTTGCTCTTATCCTCATCCTCTCTGTGGCCATTAAGATTTTAGTGTCTCAGCCACACATGAACATGCTGTTAATAAGTCTAATCATAAAACCTTTCAACTAACCTGCACAAGGGCTCTCTAAGAGCAACAATTTTTTTATGTTAACAGTATGCATATACTTGAAATATAATAACCAGCCATTTTGTTAGGTACACATGCTCAACTGCATGTTACCACAAATATCTCATCAACTTCACAGCAGAAGCTCAATGGGTTTAGACATTTAGATGTGAAGTCATGGCCAGAACGACCTGCTGAAGTTAAAAACAAACATCATAAAGGGGAAGAAAGGTGAGTTTGAAGGTGGTCGTTGGCGCCAAATGAGCTGATATAAGTATTTCAGAAACTGCAGATCTGCTGGGATTTTCCCCACACAGCTGGCAGCAGCAGCTCTCTGGGTGAAAATGCCTTTCTGATGCCATAACATTTGTCTATATTAGCATTATTAGCCTACATTCTTTATGCACAAGGAACAAAAAACAAACAAAAGAAAAACAATAACTAAATAAAAACAGTGAACTGGATTACTCATGTTTCATGCACAAGAATACACACCAATATTGTTTAACATATTAATGAAAAAAAACAAACAAACAAAAAAACCCCCATACCATATCACTCTTATAACCTTTAAAACCATATATTTCACACACAGACTTACATCTTTTGCTCTCCACACTTTGACAGTCCTGTCCTGGGACGAAGTGTACAGAAGTCCATCTCCTCCCCATTTCACGCATGTCACTGATTGAGTGTGCCCAGTCAGGATCTTCTCACATCGTCCCAACACTGTGTCCCAGATACGTATTGAGCCGTCCTTAGAGCTGCTGGCCAAGTACCGACACTCTGGATTACTGAAAGGGATAAGAATAAAAACAACTATAAGACCACAAAGTTTAAGTTAGTCCAACATGATAATCAAATTATAATCAATACCTGCACAGTTGCAATGTAGTGACTTCACATTTAAGGGAAACTAACTTCTTGTGTCTGTAACTTTAAGGCATTTCTGAAACCTTGTGATTTATTTGTTTGCCAAAACTACTCTGACAATTACAGCACATTTCCAACACAGTATTGTTTTTCCAACAGCCTAAAAAACAGACACTCTCTCCATCCTGCTGTTGAATAAGTAGTTTAGATATATCTGAACATATATTGGCTGCCTGACTCAAAGGATGTGCCTCTTCCTGAATAACTTAAGAGTCCAAGTCTGATCTACAATATCATTTGTATAACTGTAAATTACAAAATGCTTTTAAATTAAGTTTGGCTTCTTATGAAACAGAATTCATGTGTTACAGTTTCATTTCACAGTGCAATATTTCAGTGGAGTGTTTCTGTAATTGCTATGCAACTAACTGCCATCTCTATAAACACATTTATACAGATTATCAGTCAAGGGAAGAGATTTTTGGTAGCTCAAGTCGTTTTGCTTTTACTTGTAGTCCAGCTGTAGTTCACAAATCACAGGATTTATCTGCATGCAGATCCATGTGAAGAGCAAAAGACTATTTTTTCCCTAAAAACTCAATTTTTAGAAAGGAGTAAAAGTACTGTACATTTTTTTTAAGTTTCGTATATAAAATGGGTCTGAATGAGAGATCTGCAGTCAAATAACAGAGAAATTCAGGGAAGTGAAAAATAGATCGAGTGCTCACAGATGAAGAGGTTCCCAGCAGAGCCAAGTGATCCATTTGGTGTGTCCTGTCAAAGTCCTCCCTATCTGCGCACCAGTCACTGGATCCCACAGACATATCTAGAGAAAGAGAAAAATAGAAAGGTTTAATGAATGCATCTTTGAAACCTAATTATGGATCACGTGTGTTTGTTTTTGAAGCACACCTGACTGTTCTTGCATCCTGAAGCCAGCTTCTTTCCATCAGGTGACCAGGCAATGCTCAATACCCAGTGTGTGTGTCCTAAAATGAACAATGGTGTATTAAAGCAATCAGTCACTTGAAGTTCAATGATTATCAGATCATGCTGCCTTGTAGATGTTATTTTATACCCCTGGATGTGTGGTGGGGCGTCTCAGTTGTCAAGTCCCAGAAGCGCACCGTGGTGTCACCTGAACCACTGGCCAGATATCTGAAATAAAAACAGACAAATGGATCAATGTTTAAATCTAATTAGAGGTGTGATGTCACAACATAATTCCATTTTCATATACTGTTACACAACTCCAACCCAAAAGGTACAAGAGATTATGACAAACTGGCAGAGAAAAGCTGACATCTGTTCACTTTGTGTCAAAGGTACCCACTTGCCAGTGGGGCTGAAAGCGACTGAGATGACGGCCTCAGTGTGTCCCTGCAGTGTGCTGGTGCAGCGTGTCACAGCCCGAACCCTGAACAGAGCTTGAGGCTGGTACACCACAGGCAGAACTTGTTCGGTTTCAACCCCAAGAGCCTTAACGCATGTCCCCAGGCTGGACACCACCTCCATCTCCCCTTGCACAAAGAATGCCAGCGGGACTGGCTCCTCCTAGAGTGGATGACAGCAGGAAAAAAAAAGAAAAGAAAAGAAAAAGCATGTTTACTAGATATTCAATTCAAAATTGATATCATGACCATCATATTTGATTATTTCAATCTGGGCTATACATTTACACAAAACACTGTATACTTATGCTGTATAATTACCTTCTGAAGCAATGCATTGCAGACGAGCTGTAGTTTGTCTTGGGTAATGTCTAAAGGCACATCGAAAGGTGAACCCAGAATCTCCCCATTCTCGTCCTGAAACTGTATCAAAAGCCGCTCCACGTCCTCACTCGACATGTCTGCTTCAGGTCCACCTGTTAAGAGACCATATTTTAAAAATGTTTAACATTTCTACAAAAAATACAATAACATTTCAGAAGAAATACCAAATGCAGATAGACAACGCGCAAACAATGTTTCAAAATGTGGAAGTCTTAGTGGTGCTGCATTACTAACATACACTGATATCGCTGTGCATCGCCCTAAACGTAGTTTAATTACAAAGCACTCCTCAGTTTTTCAGCTAGCTAAAGTCAACGAGACAATGTCTAACATCAGTTCATTCAAGTTAATTTAAACAAACGAAGCAACAGGGAGCATGTTGCAGAGCCATGTAAAAAAGTTATTACGAAAACTTCAACTGAATTGTCCTACCTGAATATTTGCTTTGGTTTACTGTTTTGCTAGCTGACTAGTCTGTCAAGCTAACCGAGCTAGCTTGCCGTTAGCCAACAGTTTAACAATCTATATCCTTTCATAGCCGAGCCCAGGCCAGTACGATAACTGTAACTTGTTTGGACAACTGCGTCCGGGTTTATACGACATTACACTGTAAAATAACTGTGCTAAAGCCTTACCTTTAGAGCGGTAGCGGCGAGATAAAGATTCCCACGTGTGTACCACCGCAGAGCCTTTAAATGAAAGATATGTAAAGAAGTCGTCGAAGATCACGTCAGTTAACGGGTTCACGCAATGAATTATGGGAAGTAGCCGTGCTACTTCCTTCTCCATAGACGGAGTCCAGTCATCTTTACTTTCATAACGTCTCTGTGAGATCGAGCTTTCTTAAATGTCCTATTTTATGAACTGGACAGGAAACTAACTTTCACAGGGGGGGCATTTACTCACATGTTCTCAAACTTTTTATTCCATATTTTATTCCATATTTATTTAGATATATAAAAAAATGGATAGAAAAATATCCATATTTATTCAGTTTAAATAAATAAATAAATAAATAAATGAAAAAATATGCTTGCACTCCCACACCTTATGCATAATTACAACTATACACTTAGTGTAGACTCGGAGAAATGTAGCCAGGATTTGAGACAGTAGAAAAGCATCTGCGTGTTAAACTGCAAATGCAAAGCAGGAGACAAACAGGAGAGACATTATCTCCAGGTGCAGAAGTGGATCAATGAACTCACCACACACTAAGGGAGCTGACTGTAAGTGCAGGATGTCCTCAACAGATTTCCATTTGTTGTGCACTTTTCGAGTAGGCTCATGCTTTTAAAACTAGCTGCACAGTTTGATGAATGACCTCTTTTCAGTTTTGCAAGGCAAGATGGGTACCTCCCAAATTCTGACCTGAATAAGACTATCCAAAGACTGTCCACTCACTGGCCTCCCAAGAAATGCTGGTTTACCATGGCAGTCGAATTGCAGAATCACTAAAGCAAGGTGATCGTAGTAGTTAAACTGAGCTTGCACTGTAATAACTTAAGAGAGATATGGGTGTTTCAGTTTTTCAGTACCAAACTATGTGAATTAGTGTAACTTATAATTGGAAAAGTGTATCAGTATAATTCAGCTGGTGAGGCACATTATTATTATTATTATTATTATTATTATTATTATTATTATTATTATTATTATTATTATTACCATCATTATTAATACTAATAATAATATATTTATGATGTGACTCTTCTGTATCCAAAGTTGTACTGCTGGATTGAGATCTGGTGGCTGTGGAGGCCCTTTGAGTACACTGAACTCATCATCAAGTTCAAGAAACCAGTCTGACTTTCCAATTTTGGTCAGGCTGTGCAAACTGCAGCTTTAGTTTTCCAGTGTGGTCTTCTGCTGCTGTAGCCTGTCTGTTTCAAGATTTGACGTGTGTTCAGAGATGCTATTATGTATACATTGGTTTTAACTAGGGTTTTTTTTTTTTTTTTTTTTTATTACTAGTTTCTGGTCATTCTCCTCCGACATCTGCCATCAACAAGACATTTTCACACAAACAATTGCTGCTCGCTGGATATTTTCTCTTGTCTGGACCATTTTCTGTAAACCCTAGAGAAGGTTTTGTGGGAAAATTGCACTAGATAAATATTTTTGGACAGACTATCAGCAAGTCTTGCACCAACAATCATGCCACATTCGAAGTCACTTAAATCACCTTTCCTCTCCATTCTGATGATCAGTTTGAAATTCAAAAGGCTATCTTGATTAATTCCACATGCCTAAATGCACTGAGTTGCTGCCTTGTGATTGGCTTATTAGATACTAAGAGAAACTTAGCAGAGCTTATCCAATTTTACTACCTATGATGTATATATAAAAGCTTTAATAACACTCAGATGGCCATAAATGGGTATCCTACAGTTCTATATGTTATCTATCAATGCAGAGAGTAGACAGTTCCATGTTTTCTTTGGAGTACACTCCGGACAATATCACCATAATCAGTGTTGTGCTTATTACTATTGCTTTGTTGGTTAAAGCAAATTTGACTTTGCATATGAGTTAGTGCAAAATAATGCGATCACTCTCAGATTACAAGCCTCCAGGCCTTTAATCACTGATAATTAAAGTGACCCACTGCCCATCTTTTTTCACTGATTAGTCACACATCCATATCCTGAAAACATACTGGACCGTTTTAAATAAACAAATTCACAAAAAATATTTAGTTTGTCTTGCAGTATATTTTTAGTGTGCTGATACGATTCATGTATGCAGTGTGGGAGATATAACATATTTTCATCAAGAGGAAAACAGACAACCTGCATTTACATTTTAAAGATAATCCACTGCGATGACACATACATTTTCCCAGGATGATATTTTTCTGTGTCATGTTTAGGGATGGGTACCGGTTCTGACATAAACGGTAGTAACCAGACCGAAAAGCAGCGCACATTTCGGTGCTTTATATGCAAACTCAGCAGCCTGCAACAAGTGCTTTAAGCTGATACTGTGATACTGTCAAAGGAGGTAACACCTCAAATCCGATGAAACACCTGGCGACGCATAGCGTTTTTTTTTTAAAAGCCGAGAAATGCGCCGTATTTGATAGCTTGCTGCGAGACCTCACACCGTAGCACATCTACTGCGGGTGGGTTGCCTGTTATCGGACCCGGAGTTAGCAACATCCCCCAAAAACCCGAAGAATAGAGTCCTGGCCCCTAGCCCTGCCAGTGTAGCAGAAATGATGACGGATGATGATGCAGCAGCAGCCGTTCTTCTCTGCGTGAGTAGCTTAATGTTGTTCGTGTGTAATTTACGTTGAGTAGGCTAACCACGTTATTACATTAATGCATGTAAGGTGAACTAGCAAACATCATCATAGCTACATGCGGCTGTCTTCTTGTTTGATGGCAGATACTCCCTTCACCCTGGCCAAAAAGGCTAAAATGACCAAAGAAAAAGTGGAAAACAGTTAAACATGAGAGGTTTTTGGACAAAGTTTGTGTTTTTTCCATTGTTTAAGCACTGCTTCCAGCCAAGAGTGATACCATATATGCCCCATAGCTGCAGAAAAGGCTAACATTGTTATCTTTTTACAAAAAAACAGCTGAACATGAGAGGTTTTTGGACCAATTTTGTGTTCTCCATTCTTTAAGCACCGGTTTGAGCACCGTTTAAGCACCGGCACCGTTTCAAAAGTACCGGTTTGGCACCGGTATCGGATAAAACCTAAACGATACCCATCCCTAGTCATGTTCCTCTCTAAGATTCTCATATTCAACAGTTTCTGCAGACAACCCATTGCAAGAAATTTCAGTTGCAGGGTGCATGTTTCTTCACTGAGACAGCACATATAAAACAAAAGAGCACACTCTTCTACACAATGATGTTTTCCACCTTTTGTATTAATCTGCACTGGCTACTATGAGCTGCCAAAACAAACAACTTTGAAACAAAACTCAAATGCAGTTTCTGTTTTCAAGCTGCTGTGCAGTTTGACATGTGTTCTCCGTATATCTGCTCTAACAGGGTCTGTGGATAGACTGAGGCTACTCATTAAAGTTTTTTTTTATTAGAGATCTTGTTTCAGCAAGAGTGAGCCTGAACCTTAAAGGCAAAGTAGGAAATAACAAACTGGAGTTAACATGATGACAAATTGTGGGGGCCAACATGAATGACAGAGTCTGCTCATCCAGTAGATTAAGGAGTTAACCTTGGGGCAATTTTATAGCCTGATTTAGATCTGTGTGACTTTGCAGCGGAGAGGAATAAAACGTGGCACTGCAGAGAATCTGTTCTTATTTGTTGACTCCATTGATATCCTCGGGAACCAGGCCTTCCATGACAGCACGCTTAGACTCCAGGATCTGTAAGAACCAAAGAGAGAGCAAAATAAAGCACACTGCCATGCTTGCTTCCTTCTCCAAACACAGCATGCACTCAGTAATCTCTTATGTAGGTACACCTGTATTAACAAAATTCTACATTTAAATAGTCTTTCGTGGATGCATTAAATTGTATGTTTAAGAGTTTAAAAAAAAATCTAACTATAAAACTACAGATATGATAGTGAAGCAGTTACCTGGAAGCTATCACTGAGGCCAGAGATGCTTTGCATGTTTGTGCTGTAGTACCCCAAAACGTACTGTCCACCTAACAGAGGAATCTGACCTTTATCCACAGAAATCTGCAACAACACATATGTGCATGTTAATGAATAATGCATTCATAAAGAATCTGTTAATATGACATAAACGCTGCACTTCTACTTTACCTGTATGACTTCATTTATCTCTGGCAGTTCATTTTCTCGAACCCAAACAAAGGTTTCATAGTCAGACGCAGTCTTAAATCCCACCTGAAGCGCAAGACAGTCAGTCCAAATCCACACAATTATAATATATAAGGTTTAAATGATTTATTTATTGATTTTTGTTGTTTTTACATGAGTCCTAGTACCTTGTACAGGCCAATCCAGTCCCACGTAGAAGACATAAAGTCCTCCAGGACAGAGTAGGTCAAAAGTGCATCCTGGCCTGCGCTCCATATGCCCACAGGAGACACTCGCACCAGTGGTGTGTCAAAGACTTTTCTCAGCTGCGGGAAAGATAAGAGAAAAGAAAATATTTTTAAAGAACATTTGAAAAAGCAGAGGTCTATGCAGTGCATCTGCTCTCACCTCCAGGCTGAAGGTTGCAATGACAGGCTTGTGGTCACTGACTCCATAGCTCATGTCACTGGTGTATTTATCCTGGGTGACCAGGACTGGATACTCATCCTGTTCTTCATCTGTGGAAGTTGATGCCTTCTCATCATCTTCCTCTGATGGCAGGGGCTTGGGTTTGATGCGCCAGAGGATCCGGTCTGTCCATGCCGGCTTCCTCTTCTTTCCACTGAGAATAGAATAGAAGAACAGAATAAAATAGTCCTTTATTGTCATTGTATATCTACATCGAAATTATGGGTGCGCCACGCCGAGCATAATGAACATGGCTGTTGATTTTACAACTTCTATCTAAAATTTATTTTTTTTTCTCCATTGCTTACCCTTTAACACATTTACATTTGTCTATCCATACAAATCTACATACTAATTCTTATGAAAAAATAAGTGCTGTTAAAGAATGCAAACCAAACACATACACATGCAGTACAAGGCTATACCTATAGTGTAGCATGCGTATGAGAAATGATGTAGGTTACATGCTAAGTAGCAGATAGTACCATTAACAGGGTATTACAGCTTATGCACACACTAATTTGCTGTGAAAAGCAAAATGTGGATTACACCAGAGCAAAAAGAGGAAGGAGTACAAACAGTGGGGTGCTGGGTACAAACAGTGGGGTGCTGGGTGCAGAAGGGAGTTCTGGTCTAATGAATATGCAGAACATGTCTGCCATTTATCAGTCATATTATGCTTACAAAACCCATTTGAATCTTGTTGCTTATGCCAGTGTCTCCATACACTTTGTGAATGTGGGTTATATCTAAGTAACCCTCAAGGTGCCTATCCTATACACAGGACCGAGACACCCACCTAGGCAGATCTAGCATCCAGAACCAGGCCCCCAACCATTCAGAGAGGAGCACCCAGGTGAGAGACGTGAGGAGCAAGAAGAGGGTGGTGCCACAGAGCTGCAGGGGCCTTGTTTGTGTCAAGAATGGATATGAGTCGGAGAAAGAGCTGCTACCTTGTTCATCTATAAATCAGGTTTATAGATGCCATGGCTGCTTTGAGCTTCCATTTAGCGTTTTGCTACAACTAAAGATGTGGTGGCAAAAGCTGATAAAGGAATGTGGGGGATGCAAAACACAAAATAATTCTTACTTTAAACCCAACCATGTCTTTGGAGTGCTGTGCAAAATTAAAATGGAATCGAGGACACAAATAAGGCTTACAAAATTTGCCGATCATGTGTGTGTAATACAGATTTTTTAGCATGTTACCTGGTGTCATAGGTGTCGGAGTTACGGTCAAACTTGTAGGTGGGTTTAAAATTTAACGGTCCCTCCTCAAATTCCTGCAGGAAAGCTTCCTTCTTCTTCATCATGATGAGCTGCAGGAAAATGAAAATAATGAGCAAGCGTGTGTTATTATGTGTGTGTGTGTCCTCACACTAGTACAATACCTGGTCTTTGCCCCACAGCAAATTTAGCCGGCCGCTGTTGATGGATGAGCGGAGAAAGTGCAAACCGTGATCTGCGATGCGGAAGTTCAGATCACCAAACCAGAACACCACCCTGTGAAAAAGCCGCAGAGCCACATTTTACTTGCACAGCAGCCCATGTTGCGTATATGCATAGTATTTGTGTGCCCCTGTGAAGGAGTCCTGACTTGTGGTCCCGGATTTGTGGGGTGTCATAGATGTCAAAGTCTTGCGTCTCCAGTATGTACTCAAACTCGTCAACGCGCTGCAAAGCGTTGTTCATGTGAGCAGCTAGGTGGCAGTTGAGGAAGCAAATCATGTGTCCATAGAAGGAAAAGCGCACAGACACTCCTCCTTTGTTACCCTAACACAGACACACACAGGAGAACAAATACAGTCTGTGAAGAAGACTAATTATAAAAAAAGTATCTCTTTTAACCTGGATTATGGATTAGACACAAGTTTTCTATCCCAGTGTTCTGACTGCTTTCAGTGTTCTTTGTTTGTGATTTCTTTCTGTCAAAGCTGCTGCACATTTCACTAAACAAACACAATGGACCTTTCATGGTGCGTTTAAACCCTACAGCATCTGATGCCAATGGGATTCCTGGTGTGCACACAGTGTGGTTGTCTACAAGGTCCAGGGATAACCAGAGCTCCCATTCTAATTTCCTACCCAGTAGCCAAACACGCCGGTCCGAGTGTAGGTGGTCTGGATGTTTCTGATGTAGGGAAGATGAATCTGTTTGGCAAACAGCAGCAACAGCAAACCCTGCATCCTCACTGACGTGACCTAGACACAGATGGAGACAGTAAGATTGTATTAAAGTCAAAATTATTTATATAGCACATTTAAAACAACAACTGTTGACCAAGGTGCTGTACAATTAGGATAATTAAAAGAAATAAAAACATAGGGAGATACGATAAGACTTAAGAAAAAGAATCATAAAATTATTAAATGTTGTAGATTATGCAGCGTTTCTTTTTTTTTTCCTCTTTGAATCTCAAACAGTTTAACTGCAACAGTATAAAAATGTATGTATGTAATAATATATTTTATGTCTCTTTTATAGATGAAAGAAAAATACAGGAGATTAAAGAGACACATGAAGACAAATATTTCTCCTTTTCCTTCTTCTGTCTTCTCCGACCTTGACAAAGCCTCTGGGTGCCAGTGAGTTCATGAAGACATGGCTCCAGGAGTCTTCTGATATCAGATCTGTGATGAACCTCACTGGGGTGGCGTTTACCTCCTGAAGGCTAACACACAGAAAAACAAAAAGAGACAAGTAATGACAGTCTAATGTCTTTGATTCCACTGCTGTGATTCATTATGAATATATATATATATAATAGATTATTAGCAACATTTGAAACTCCACTGTCAAAAATGTTATTTCTTACCCAATCACATAGAGATCTGGAGGCGGCTGGGCATCTAGTTGGAGCAAAGAGGTGGCATCTTCAGAAGGCTCTGCTGTGGCCACATTCCAGGTCACAATGTGGATCCTTGTGAGAAAAAACTCCCAAATATTATTTACAACGCTACAAAGCTATACACTGTGCATGCTCAACAGTTTGTGTCCTCAAAAAGAGCAACACTTATACCATAAAAATACAAAAAAAAACCAAAACCTTGATAACATTTACTTTTCCAAAATACACACTTTTGTAATCTTATAAGTTAAGTGGAACTCACTAAGAACCACAGATATCATTTTCACAAATACCACTTTAAGAGCCTATTGATCATTTCTGCACTTTTTGATATGAACTATATTAGTTGCTATGGTATGCCTGTTTCTTCATGATAAATCAAAGTTTGAAGTGATTTTTCTTTTACAAGCTTTTTAAAAGCCCAAAGTGTTAAAGTCAACCTGAATGCATCTGTGGGAATGAAGCGTCCACAGAGCTGAAATGCTTCTTCCAGCGTGCGTGACACCTCTTCACTGGCTTCGTCGTCAGAGCTCATGTCCTCGATGCAGGTCAGCAGCTGGGACAAACGCTGGCGAAGAACCGTCTTCGACTTTGAGCCCTGAGATGCCGAGCTGCTCGTGCTGTCCGAGCGCACACGTGGACTGTCTGTTAAAAGTTCCATCTTTGAAGTTATGCCTTAAAAAAGGGTCTTCCCAGTGTATGTGACGTAGTAAAGTTCAGGAGGTTCTTCAGTGCACAGCAGTATTGAAAGTAACTACTTAAAATAAACATAAAGAAAGAGGGAAAATCCTACGGAAGACAGACCTTTGGCTTGACTTCTCCTCAGACTTCTGTGGTTGGGATAGTTGTAGCCATCTGATGCGAGAGGCCACCAGTCCCTTTGTCCACTCGACTGAGAGTAATATGAACTGATTCCTAGTTAGTCAAATCTCTCTCTGCATGTGCTTCAGGCAGTTCTTCTTTAAAGTCCTCCAAAATAGCCAAGTTGAACAACTGAAACGCCGAGGGTGAAGGTTGCTGGTGGAGTCCTTTCTCTGGCAGAGTCTTGTGTGATCTGGCTCCGATGGAGCAGCGACTGACAAAGCAGTAGGGTTGACTCGGGAAAGCAGGCAAGAGTGAGTCAGATTTGGAGTATAATCGCAGGCAGGAGACAGGCATGTGAACTTGTGCGTGTGTTTTGCTGTGAGTGTGTGCAGCCAAAGAAAGTGTAAGAGGAGGCTGATCCTCCATCAGTATTGCTGCAAGACCTGGGCAAACCTTCAGCTTTTCTAAGAGGTTTACCACCGCTATTCTTCATCAGCGGAGCACATAGAACAATGCATGTGACCCACAATTACACCCATGCACTGGTGACGAGAGAAAATATCAGCTTTGGCTTCTTCTGGCGTAAATCTGGGCTCTTATTATATAGACAAAAGGTTATCTTTGTAAACTGGATAGAGGTCGGAGAGGAGTTACAAGCAGCTTTAGACTGACACACAGTTTTATGACAAAAACGCAAATCATTCTGATTATCAAGTGTTACAGCACACCTAATAGATGTGGAGCAAATTAAGCAATCATTAAGCAATCTGCAGCTGCGGCGCTTTTTGCCTAATACTTAAATGGATTAAAGATTTAAAAAGTGAGATAATTATTTAATTCCTAAAATTTTAACATCTAATTAGCCACTAAAACACTTTTCTTTGCAAAACGACTCAATTAGAAACCGCTGGATATTTCCTTACACAGGACTTAAAATGATCCTGAACTAGACAAACAAGTTTTTACTTTTCTGAAGCTAAAAGTGAAACTCAATTCTAAATTCTAAAAAATAACGTGCTGATTGTTGTGTGTTACTGAATAAGTGTATGTAGCTGAATGGTTTATTAATGGCTGTAAAGCAAAAATATTAAAATATTTGGATGCCTGTGGAAAATACAAAGAAATGGGGACAGGAATAAAGAAAAGTATTTATAATCCTTGGTGTCCCAATCCTCCCTTTCAGTTCATGTAACAGTGTCACATGCAAAGACTTAGGGCAAATTCTTTAGCAAGCAGAGGTGTTAAGTAGATAATCAAGGGGCCCACTGGTCAGAAATGATGAATAGAATACTATTTAAGTTTTCTCGCAGATCTATTAATACTCAGATCCAGCAGCCACAAGTTACTTATAAAGACTATGAAACTGATTATGAAATGCAAGCTGGGAGGGTTACTTTCTTTTGTTTTACTATCTCTACATGTGATCTGTGCTTTCCCTCACATTTATTTCCATCTCTGACTTTGTTCCTACCTACTTTGTATCCTTTCATTTACATTAGGAGACAAAGACAGAATTGTGCCGGTCTTACCTGCACTTGTCTGTTCCACCCCTGCCGGTGTTCATTTTCTCCCCTGTAGGCACACATACACACAGGCTTGGGCAAAATGTAAGCAAATAGAAATGCCAGGCGCTTTATCCTTACTACATTCAGTTTGCTGGGAGCATAGACCAGAGCCGGGCAAAAATAACTAAACAGACAAAGCCAAACCTGACAGGGATGCCCCGGAGTCATTTCTCAAATTGCTTTTTAATCACGTCTAATCATGGTTAGCCTCAGCCGTGTTAAAGTGACAGTACCCTGAAGATCACATGTAAACACAGGAAGACTTGAGAGTCATTTTTGGACATATTTTAAATAAAACTTTATCAAAAATGCTGTAGAAATTATTTGACTTTTTAAAGCTAATTATAAATAGTGGGTGCAATGCATATTTGTTGCCGTTGGCTGCTCTGGCCTTTGAACTAGTTTTAAAGTAAGTAAAGAAAACAACAACAATGTCCTGGACTTGTGACTAGACTGTAACAGCAACACCTTGTCCTGTTTGTGTCAAAATTGTCTAATAACTGTGGCTTTGTTATGATAGCTTAGATTATTTGTTTTTCTGGGTTTCTTCCTCACCACCAACCCTTGCTGATGGCTGTGATTGGACACATTAAAATTAAATTCAACTGAATTTCATTTGGCCACTTGGGGGCAACAATGTGCACAACAAGCTGCACGCTAACATATTTGTTATGGCTAACACTCTTTTAGCAAAGTAGTTGATGGCAGTTCATATAGATATAGATATTAGTCTACTGTTAAACTGGCAATATGACTACCCACATAACATATGTAAGTCCAGTGTCTTTACATTTTATCTTTTATTTTTGTTGTGCTCTTAATTTAGATCCACAGCAAAATATGTAATTTCTTACCTGGCTAACTGTTTAGAACATTAGCCAAATTAGCTAGTGAGGTCAATTTCATCGTATATCAGTGTAGATATTAACCACAATAACAACTTGTCACAATATAATAATCGAGGCTATGACAATATGCAAATTTTTATCAAAGAAGAAAAAAATACAATTTAAAAGGCAGAAATTATTTTATTTAGTCTTCTATTCTAGTGTCAACTTTTGTTATCGATATTATTTAATTTTAATTATGCATCAATTAAGTTAGTTGTTTTTCACTGACAAGTTTTTTGTTCTTTATAACAATGTTACTAACTTCTGTTTTCTTTACCCTTATTATAAGCCCCTCCTTGAAAAGGTAACGAAGTCCTAACTTTGGTATTTTAAATTGACCAGTGATTGCAAGAGAAACAGATTGTTGTGCCGTATTCATACTTGCCAACTGCTAGTGTGCTGTAACAAAAACCCAAAAAACAAAAAACCCCACGCAAACAAGTTACTGAGATCGTTTTGCCTTATGAGAACAAAAGCATCCCTCTGTCTAACTAAACCATTACCTTTGTCTGTGTGTCTGTCTTGTGGTATCCGGAAAAGCAGTAGACGCTGTGTGCACAGATGACAGAGATGTCCAAAGGGAATCTGTTTTCCTGTGGTGAGGCTGGTTTGACTGTTTGATACTGTTTTTGGTTTCCTCACTTTGTTCTCAGCTGCTCCCCTCCTGGGTGCAAATTCCCACACACAGCCCACGCTGGACTTAAGCGTAACATCGGATCAAGCTATTATCCCAGGTTGGTTAACAACCCAGTGAGAAAGTGTTTATGAATAGACATGTCTGTTTATTGACATGGCATTTGCTTCACTAAAGCCTGCTTTGTATGAAACAATCCTTCATTTTCTTAACAGTATGGAATGTGAAAGGCGCTCTGCATTACACATTAAAATGCTACTTTATAAGGATTTTATTGACTGCGTAATGCTTTAATTACGGGGATTCATTCTGTTATTTTTGTGGTCTTGCAGGATGGTTGTGGATGATATAAATAAGCCATCTATAGGAAGAAAGAAGAAAGGTTATCAACAGAACAGACACAAAGATTAAAACAAACAAAATCACAACTTAAAACTTGATTAATACTTTCTGATCTTTAGATTCAAGAACCAAAATAAATTTTTCATTCATATTTCAACTAGTAAGCTCAGTTTTCTTTTTACTGATAAGCTAAAATATCCTCAGTGGTTCATTAGTAAAGTCAAATATTCCCTCTCAAACATCCATACACTGTGTAGTTTCATCACCATCTAACAAAATATGTAGCAGCTCGCAGCCCCGGCCCATCCTCTGCCTCATAATCAGGATTTAAAGTAATCTTTGCCACAAAAAGCCTGATTAATTCTACCCTGCCTACAGTGTTTGTGTCTGTATGTGTGTGGTGTCTGCTGTCTGTGTGTTTTATAGGTCCACCAGGAGCACCAAAGAATAATATTCAAAAGTCATACTTTGTAGCTTTAATTAACATTTGATGATTTCAACAACTGTTTTGATTTATTTTGCTAAGGCAAGTCAATGTTCATTTTTTTAGCTTATATTTGAACCATTTTTTGACTGTCTGTCTGTCTGTCATTTTCCCCTTGCATTTAGGAAACATACATTGTCTCCCATGTTTAAATAATCTCACACCGATGACATCCATTTAAATCATTTTTTTTAAAAAGCATTCACATCAAACTTATGTACAGTTGCTTTGTTTCTTTTTATTTAGTTCTTTATGTCTCCAATGTACAGTAGTGTTATTAGAAGATAAAATGACAAAAAGGCACAAATTCACAATAAAAGAAAGAAAAACAGGAGACGGTTAACAGGAGTGAGAGAGAGAGAGAAAGTAAGAGAGAGAAAGAGAGATTTAACGATTTAAAAACAGTTTGGGATTATTATGGAATCATTTGGTTTCATACTCTGATTATAAATCGAGGAATCTAACAACAGATAACTATGAGATTGTCTCTGTTAAACCACGTTCTCTCACAAGTTTGTAGGTTCAGACTCTTAAAAACATCAGTATCTGTTCTCAAACAACCACATATTTTTGTCCTTTCTCATGTGTAGCTTTAAGCTCCAACACTCCAGCACCCAGTTGAAGCTGCTCCGAAATGTAGAATAATTTCCCCTCGATTCCCCCACTGCTAACCACAGGAGGGCAAAGTCTAACTCGTGCCCCGGCGTCACGAAGGGCCGACGCCATCAGCTAATTATGTGGATCAATGAAGTGACCCAAGCTGCCGTTCCTTTGCAGAGAGAAGTCAGTGTAGTTCAGAGACTGACAACAGAGGTACAACATTCAGAACAAAAATATATATTTATACACTGTCCTGCCAATGAGACGTGGTACCTGTGAGGGAATAATGAAAGACAGGAAATAGTAAACAGGCTCTTTTCTTATTTTTTCCTCCAAATGTGAAGTGCTGCTTCACTTGAGCAGCCTAAACATCTATAACAATATGTAAGAATGCCTTTTTATGACTACAGTTGACAATATTCCTCAAAATGTCTTACCACTACTAAATTCAGCAACTAGAACTCAACATTTTCTGATCCTGTGGCCAGCGTGGGGTGTGTAATGCTGAGTAGATAGCGATTAATTAAGAGGATCAAGTGTTAAGAGGTGTGCTGTAGGCTTTGGCAGGACAGTCTGATCTATATATATATGTGTTCATCTACAATAATTTATTTACTATTTACAAAGTCAGTACATACAGTACATCCACAAACCTCCATGAATCAGTTGGTAGCCCCATCACAGACACTGAGTGAGACACTTGATGGACACAGAGGTGCAGGGATTGAATATCCAGGGCCAGTGTTTTGGAGTCAAAGAGGAGGCAACAGAAAAATGTTTGCCACGATGGCCTTATTCAAGTAATCTGGCATATGCAAACATAAAAAGATCAAACATTATCCTTTTAAAATTTATAGTTCACAAGGTTGATAATGATCCTCAGAACAGTCCCTTTTAATAATTCATCAGTAATGTGTGTGCACATTAGATTAGGCTCAAAGACAATGCTCAAATGTCTGTCAATCATTTGCTTTACCTTTCTTGTTAATTAGGGTTAGGGCTGAGCCAATTCAGCTCCACGTTTCCCTGTAAACTGAAAACCTGAATCTAACCAGATTCAGCGTAATAGTCCTTTAGATTAATGTAGCTTAACATGAGAGTAACTTCTGGAAGTCTTCCAGAAAACCTTTGCATTTTTAAGAATTTCTGCAAATAACTTATCCTAATTAAAGAGTCAATGGAAGAAATAATTCTTGCAATGCTTGGGACAGACGTCATTTTGACTGATGACAGTACTTGATCGATACCATGTTTATTTAGTAATTGCAAATAAAAAACCCAATAGTGAAATTGATATTTATACTACAAAATTCAGTAAGTATGCATTATTGTACTTTAGTAATGATTGTGCATAAACTACAAAAAATAGGCTTTATTTATCTATTATTTTAAAGTTTCTAAATTATTTTACATGAACTAATATTAGCTTGTTAGTGCAAAATGTCCATAATCATTTTCTTGTCTCGTTACCTGTTGCTTTCTCTTTAAGCTTTCCATACTGTTAAAACATGTGCAGGATGTGAAGTAGATGACGGGACGGAAGGAAGGCAAAGGAGGCCAAACAAACACCAGCAAGAAGAAAAACAAAATAGTGCCGGCTGTAGCTTAATTTGTTCCTTGTTTGTAACTAGGATCAACTTTCTACAAAGACACTCACTACCCTGCATGACACATTCACACTCATGCATACACCCAGAAAAATCCCCTCCAAAACAAAACACAAATTTAAATAGCAACCTTTAGATCCCACAAGAGAAATCAACCCATGCAAAGACAATAAACATGGAATTTAATGATGAGTAAGCAACTTGAGCCCTCTTGAGTTGATGCGCTCCAGTTTACTAAAACTGCAATGACCAAGGAGAGACCAGTGTGTCATGATAGTTATTGCTATTGCTGGATAACACCATTTATCCACTGAAGATGACACAACGGATGACAAGGCAAGACCTGATGCAGAATGACAGCACAGGTCACCAACAGAAGAATAAAAAAAGACACAGGCCTACACTTGTTTATGACTGTTCCAGTTGTCTGCTCTATATTTTTTATTTTGCAGGGTGACACATTTTACCAGCACCCCTCTCAGCTATTGCTCTCTCTGTATTTCTATTTATATGCATTACTCTATACTTATTCAGACACAATCTTCAATTACGGCAATTTCGAGCACCCCGAACAGCCAAATGAAACTGGGGAGGATCTGCTGAAAGAGGCATGAAAAATACAGCTGAAAAACTTAGTGACCTAGCAATGTTACAAAGACACACACCACTACCGCCACAACACCACACACACACACACACACACACACACACACACACGCACACATGTATACCAGTATATATATATATATATATATATATATATATATATACACACATATAGTGACTGTTTTTACACGTATAATGTAGGTGTACACACATTCACAAAGCAGCAGAAAAGCTAATGAACTTGTCAACATATTTACGGGGGCAAAAATCGTATCTGTTATGTCAGATTTATAGCAGAGATAACACAAAACTCTTAGGCACTCTACCATCCCCAACCTTGCGAAGCATGGATTTGTAGATTTGCAGAATCGATTCAGAAAGAAAAGGGAAACACTGACATTGACACAATGATGAGAAAAGGAGTTATACAATACAAAAAGAAGAAATTAAAGGATCAAAGGCAACAACCACAGACAACGACATACTTAGTTGGCTTTATTGATTCCTAGTGAAATAAAATCAAGACAAATCACATCTCACAAAATGTAATCATTAATCTTTGATTATGTTAAAAATTTGTTTATTAAAATTATTAATATATATGATATTATATATGATATATACGACATTAATATATGACTTTCAGATACATAATTAGACAACTCATCCGAATATACTTTAATCACTATGGGATATCCTAAATAAAATTATTAAATTGCAATGAGAATAAATGCACAATATTCTCTGTAGTATTAGAACAATTGTTAGAATGTAAAGAGAGCTGACTGAAGACTATATTTTGTACGGAGGCCTTCAGAGCAATTAACATGGGGACACTAGATCAAAAAAAATAATACCATTTAACAGTACTAAGAGAGTTGAGAGTGAGGAGAAATGATGAGCCAGAGAACATCAGTGAAACTGAGCAATTTACTGGGTCCAGGTGCCTTGAAACCAAATGGACTTGCAAAAGAGGTGGTTTTGGACCGGCACGGTCGGGAATGTTGCGGTCTTAGACAAAAAGGAGGATGTCGAATCACGCTGGTGTTCTGAGATATTCTGATCTAAAAGAAGAAGACGGAAAGACTCATCACTTACATTGTCTGCTTTTTTTAATTGCCTAAAAAACAATTATTTACTTTATTGCAGAGGTGGGACCAAGTCATTGTTTTGCAAGTCTCAAGTAAGTCTCAAGTCTTTATCCTCAAGTCTCAAGTCAAGTCTCAAGTAATGTCAGGCAAGTCAGAGTCGAGTCTCAAGTCACTGGTGTAAAAGTCCGAGTAAAGTCACAAGTCTGAAACTTTGAATTTCAAGTCCTTTCGAGTCTTTAAAAAAAAAAAAAAAAAAAAAAAATGTTGCAGTTATGCTAAATGTAAATATTAGACCATGTAATTTTTAAATCTGTGTTTTTCTCAACACATGACAAAATAGTGAACTTAGAAAATATACACAAATTGTGAAATTGCACCTCTATAAAATGCAGCTCAATTAAACTTAGCTCCAAGAATAATTTTCAACAACAATTCTGAGATAAACTGCATGTTATTCTTGGATGCGCTTGTAGGACCGGCTTTAAAATAGCATGACAAAAATATCATACACATTAAAGTTATTTGACATCACAAAGTTAGATGAAGTCAGCTATCTCATCATAGCAAAAGAGAAGCACCACCTACCGTTCTTTATGCAACTTCAACTGTCGGACAAAGTTGGAAGTTGTTCCATCTCTGTCTGTGATTCTGTGATTCTCTTCTTGCATGTTTTGCATATTGCATTTCAGTTTTTTGTTGACTACTTCATAATTTATGTACCTGAAAAAAATAACTCCTTGCAGCATTTTTGAGCGGTTTTTTTTCCCTCCTAAAAAAAAATCTGGTTAATTTGATTGGCTATGCTACAGCTCATGCACACATACGTACGGAGTGTGGTTTGAATAAATGAATGAATGAACTGAATTAATGGCGCACACTTTCTACATAATATGTGTGTTAAATTTTAGATTTGGGGTGAAATATCAAGCCTTTTCAAGTAAACCGGTTCAAGTCCAATTCAAGTCCCAGGTCACTGGTGTAAAAGTCCAAGTCAAGTCACAAGTCTTAGAACATTTTTTCAAGTCAAGTCTAAAGTCATAAAAGTAATGACTCGAGTCCAAGTCATGTGACTGGAGTCCACACCTCTGCTTTATTGTTTATTGCATGCTAAAATAAATTGCATGCAGTTAGTGGCATGCTAAAAGCATACTATTTAGTTAGCATGTAACTAAATATATATGTAAATTTAGTTGGATGCTTTTCTCAAATGTACTCAGATTTCAAGCCTGCCTGCTCTTGTGAACCTCATTTCCAGCAACAACATGCATGTGAACTAGCCGATAATCACAGTGAAGAATTTAGCAACAAAAAAGCCTGTTAAATGTGTTAATTGGAGACTTATTAAGGTCACATTCTGCTGTTTTAGATTCAATAATCCAACATTTGTGACCCCTAATAACCATATAACTTCATTCACTGGCTGCAATTTCTTGTTACTTATACACTGTAACTGATATCTGAGATCATTTAAAGGGCTCTTGGACACTAAGGTTTAGCTTAAAACAAGACAAAGGTTTTGCTAATTGATTAATTTCTTAACTACGGAAGAAAAAAAACACTGAGGTTTCTGATCAAACAACGCAAACAATTTGAACACATCACCTTGGATTTGGGAAGTTACAATGAGCAGCTAGACTGGGGAAAAATCCAGTATTCCAATTAACATGTCATGGCACAAATTTACAATCACACAAAGGACAAAAATAACTTCACCTGATGAGCAGCAGCATTCACGGTCCAATACAGCCTCAGTCCTCTAGAGCGACCATCCCTTTCACAGGGTCCTTCACTCTCATCTGACAAAAGAGAAAAATCACACAATAAATTTTTAATTGTTTGCTTTAGTGTCTAGTAATCTCAACATTTCAAGGTAACGAAATATGTGTGTGAAATACGTAGAAGTTGAGCTGCTGCATATGAAAGAACTGCATCTTCCAAGCAGACAGAAGTAGTATAATAAAGTATGTCTGTCTGCTCCACAGCTGTCTGTGTGTGTGTCTGCAAAGGACTACAATCATAGCCTTACTTATAACAAGGTGTTTACATGGTGTTGGCTTCATCAAACTGTGGCATGGCCTTGAACTGGTCTGTACTAAGTGTTAAATAGCAGGGAATAAGCACTTTTAAGACTGAGGTCATGGTTTTCAGCCTGAAAAGATTGGGTTTCCTGTTCTAGATTGGGATTAAGGTGTCATCTTAAGTGGAGGGGTTCAAGTACCTCTTGGGCTTGTTCATGAGTGAGACAGAATGACAGGCAAATCTGGTACAGCACCAGTACAACAGCTGAGTGCTGTACAGGTCTGTTGTTTTGATGACGGATGCAAAGCTACATATCTACTGGGTGATCCTGGTCAAAAGAATAATACACAAGCAGCATAAACTAGCTTGCTTTAAGGGGTGTCTGTGATCATCCTATGAGAGAGACTAAGAGAGACTACATGTAGAGGAACTCTACATGGAAAAGAGACAGTCAAGGTCTTTTCCCAATTAGAAGAAAACTGTGCAGCAGACCCAGAACACGCCAGATCGACCATGTCTCACAGCTGCCCTAAGAACGCTTCTGTGTCCCCACAGAAGAATTGCAGGAGGTGATAGGGGAAAGCGAACTGTTGGTATGTGGTAGAAAACATTAAAAGATACACTGTATCAAGTTCAATTTAATCTTGCCTGGCTTACCTCATCCAGCTCCCTACGTGTCTGCTCCTCCATGCGACGTATGTCTTCCATGTTCAGTTCAATCCATTTGTCAATCCAGCAGAACAGCTGGCGGTGAAAATTAGTGAACAAACGCTTCTCTTGCTGTGAGACAACAGAAACAATAAAGAGAAAAGTTATGGATTACGTAGTTAAAGGAGCTGGATTTCTTAACGTAAGAGATGTGTAATTTCATCCTGTTTCCAATCTTTTACCCAGTTTATCGCGGAGAGGCTGGCAGCATACATGTGGAACATGATAGTTAGTCCCAAAAGGTTGATTCTGTTCATCTGGATGTAGAGTTTTCATTGGGAGAAACATTTCATCACTCATTCAAGTGACTTCTTCAGTCTGAGCTGACTGCAGGTTTCCCTGATCTTATAAACAGTACATTTGCATAACGACTGAAACCAGCACCACTGAAGGAACAATGGGCTGTGAGGTCAGTTTCTTGATCATTAATAAGCAAATTGTAATGACCATTGATCAACAACCACTGATCAAATTCCACTGATCAATGACCATGGATCAACGGCCATAAGTACAATTCACGGAGTACCATTCCTCCCACTAAAAATGCTTCATCAAGGTGAACAGAATCAGTCTTTTGGTATTTATTTACCTGGATGAATGAGCATGCGTCAAGACATGATAGTGAGTGGTGCCTTTTTCCATTACTACCTCAAGCGGTCAGGATTTACTGTATGTGTGCAAAGGATAACACACCGTGGTGCAACAGCCATTAACAGATATTGTCAAGGAAGGAAAAAAAGGATATGTCCCGCAGGATAAACAATGTAAATGACTTTTTTATCAATAAACCCTCCTCAGTAGCAGGCCATGACCTGTAGCTTCCTGGTTGTGTCAAAATGATAATAAGGTAAAAAGCAAATAAAACAAAAAACCTCTCAACAAACCTTTTGAATGAAATTCTCCACTTTATTTTGCAGGCCCCACCACTTGAATTTGACAGTGACCAGCTTGTAGGCACACATGTGTGGGCAGTCTTTCTTGTTAGGCAGTTCCTTCTGCAAGTACATAAACACATTTTTTTTTTTTACGTTACCAAATGTTCCTCAGGCATAACACATCTGTATGTCTGGACCTTTGCCTCTATTCAACTAATATTTAATCAATAAAGATACACTGAGGGCTATAAATAATGTTTTAGAAATCCAGAGGTCATCACTTCTCCTGATTTTCTCCAACACCTTTTGACAATAATAAAAAGGCTCTAAAACTAAAAGTATTGATTAAAAGATCCATTATAATATATACTAACTGCAAATAAGGGCTGGCTTCTAAAACCATTCAACTGAATAAAACCACTCAGGAAAAACTGATAAAAGACAGGACCCTAGTGTCCTTAGAAGCAGCTATGGCTACATTATATTGCTGCATTATGACCAAATTTTGTTCTGCACAGATCAGGCATCACTGGCTAAGCATCATAGTTGCTAAGCAACAAGTATCAGTGCAAATATATTTTGTATTTTGCACATCAGTGATTAACATTAAAGTGGTTGAAAAATGTGCCTCTGCCTACTGAGATGTTTACAACAAAAAAGCTGCACCTTCCAGTCTGGTCCTAGAGGTCCTCGTCCTGTCTTTACTGACTTGAACTTGCAAGGATCTTCTTCAGGCTTGTAGTCCTGAAGAAAAATGGCAAAAGCCCCCCAACAATAAACAACATGTATAAGGTGACACGTAAGTATGAAAGCTAGATGCTGTGATGGTCTCATTGATTTTAAGGTGATGTTTTCACCTTTGGTTCCACTTGACTTCTGTCTGCAATATCAATATAGACTACATCCACTTTCTTCCAGGTTTCAGCATCCAAACCGTGTACCTGAAACAGAGATAGAGAGAACAAAACTAGATACTGTGTCTGAAGGCAAGTTTCTCCAGGCAATAAAATAGCTTTTTAATAACATAACATTTACATTTATGCATGTATAGTAGCATTGTCCCAGTAAATATGAGCACCTACAAAAGGGGGATGCAATTTGGATTTCAAATAAGAATTATGAAGCAGATTTTGATTAGGAAACCACTAAACAACAGAAAACACAACCACAAGGAGAGGAAAATAGACTATAAACCTCACCATCGATAAATTAAACATTTTGTAAAAAAAAACCCAACCACATTTGTGCCATCTGCATTCTTTCCACTCAAAATATGGACATTCAACTTGCTGCATGTAGCACCAAAGGTCATTATTGCCATTAATAATTACATTTTCAAGGTGTCCCATGTCAGGTTTGTGCCATGTCTCAATCTTGATCAAGAAGTTATCTTTCATATACTCATTCTGCAGAGAAAACACAAGTAAAATTGAGTGAAACAGGAAGAGTAAGCAAAGGATCTTAAAATATCACCTAACTCCTGTTCTCATACACACACACACCAGCGCATACAGCTGTGTATCCAGGACTTAAGAGGACATTACATTAACTTACTGTAACCCTAATCACCTTAATCATAATTAAACATTTCTAAACTTAACCTTAACAAAAATGTCCTCATCAAAGTTTTTAATGATTTCTGTAATAGGGAGCCCCCCGCCCCAATAGAAGAACACATCTCCATATTGTGTGAACAGATTTAGGTCCCCATAGCTTGAGTAATACATGAAGCACACACAAAGTAATGGTGTCTGACTACGCCTGCTGCTTCGCCACTGAAATAGATCACATGTCTTTCTCAACTTTCAGGTTAACTCGTTCTCTCTCTCTCAGCATCAAGGTTTGCGGTGTCTTTTGTGTCAACGCACACGATTTCCAAAGTAAACACGCATACTTACAGTGATGACTGCAGAGCCCGATGGCAGACAGCGCAGGAGCAGACAGAGAGAAACACAAGAATAGTTGAGTTGAGGAACATTTGAAAACACCACGAAACACTACCAATACGCATTAACAGTATTGGACAATGTACAGATGTCACGAGGAATTGTTAAACACCAGTTGTCAGTGTGTGTGTGTAGGTACAGGTTGTGCCTTTGCCTGTTCTGTGTGTTTGTGTGACAGATGGCTGTCTGGCAACTGGCAGGCTGTGTGTGATCTCAGCCTGAAAGGCTCGAGTGATTGCACGGCTCTTCTCTCTGGGCATACAGTAAATTATTCAGCTACTCTTTCAAGGTGACAAAGACCCAGAGACACACAGTTAGCAAGAGTGTGCGGTTGAATGTGTACCGCCATTATTTAAATCAGTTATCTTAAACCCCTATTAAACAAAAAAAAAGGTATATTTCTTTCACAAATAAAATCCACTGAGCGAGGCATCCCTGAGCTACAAAAACACGTGATTCTGATAAATGTCACAAATCAAATCTGTATTTTATGTGATGAATATTACCAAAAGCACAGAGATTAAGCATTTTGTGTGCTGGTATAAAGCGTCTCTGCGTGTATGTGTGTCGTACCTGTGCGACAGTATGGGTACGCGTTCCAGGCTTTCTCGTGGATATTGAGAGCTGAAGCTGGAGCCAACATTCTGACGAATGATGGCACTTTACTGCAGGGCAGAGGAGTGAAGAGAAAACAAGCCTAGTTAATTTTAAAGCATTTTTATTTCAGTTATTTAACTTCATTATAAGTTCTCATATTGGAGGTCTTAAGCATCACAGCAAAACCTTCCTTTACCTGACCAAGTCCTTTATATTAAGCTTTAGATTTAGCTTTGCAATATAAACATGAATAGCTATAATACATATGAATGCCCACTATAAAGATCTAAAGCAACAAAAGCACTAAAACCTTGATAGGCAGAAACTACATGTGGTTGCTTCTGGTAGCTTACTTACATGCATCAGTGTGCTATCAGCATATTTAGATCTTTGTAGGTTAACAAACAGTCCAGAACCCCAACCTTACTATCAGGTTTTCCTAAAAGCTTCTTGGAAAGCCTTTAGCTGATCCAAAACACTGCAGTGACAGTGCTAACATGGACTGGAATGAGAGATCAAATTTCTCCTTCTAAACAAACTAAGTTCCGAATGATCATGCCAAATGTTAAAGACCTCATAGTAAAACATTATCCCAGTAAAGCATCCCACTGTCAGAGTGCAGGCTTACTATGGTAGAATAAGAAGCAGAGCCTTCAGCTATCAGGCTTCTCTCCTGTGAAACCAGCTCCCACTTGGGATTCACGAGAAATATTCTCTGGGGTGGGAAGTGCTAAGTGTTGCTATAATTTACTGATTATGTCTCCACTGCCCAAGTGTTTATTTGCCACTTTGCATGCTATGCTGTGTTACTATTTTATGCACTCTCTTTCCCCTCCAATCGATCCCTAAGTCTGGTTCTGCCAGACAGCTCTTCCTTCTAAAAGGGAATTTTTCCTCTCCACTGTCACCAAGAGTTTGCTCATAGGGGATCATCAGATTATTAGGGCTCTTGATGGTGTCCTTGTTGTTAACTGCTGCTTTATATAATGAAGCTGAAGTAAATATAATTAAGACTTTGAAGTAACGGGATAATAGACGTACAAATATATGAAATAGAAAAATGAATGAATCGAATGCAAGATTCTTCTTCTGCATCGTCTGACACTGCAAACCTGTTGTACAAATACTTACCTCTGCAAATGGTATATTTTGTGTGTGTACTGTCCCTTCTCTCCATCTTTCTCATAGGGTTCATTTTTTAGCACCTCCACTCCTTCTCCTCCACCCGTCTCATTCTTACTGGCCTCAGCCACAGAGTACAGCTGGCCAACCTGGTACTGGAAAAAAGAAAAATATATAAAAATAGTTGGATTGATGTAAAAACATGGCTTAAAGGGACAAATAAAAAGCTACTTCCTCTCAAGTCTACCTTAAAAGAACACATGCTGAAGTTACAATGTATTATTACCCAGATGAGAGCGCTTTCGCAGTGAAACACAGGTATATTTTTTCATGTGCATTTCATCTTTTTCTTTGGCTCTTTTCCTTGATTGCTCCATATTCCTCTCCTTCTTCCTGAATTCTCATAATCTCCCATATACTTATGCTTGCTCTCCACATTTTATTTTCATCCTGTCTACTTTTATGTCGCACCCGACTGTTTTTCTCTTTCACGACTTCTCAGTCTCACGCCTCTGTCTTCATCTCACCCCCCTCTCCCTGATCCCAAGTATGCATGTGATTGTTTAAGCACAGGACAATGGCTCTTTCATTTCTTAATCACCTCTAATCCACATATAACCTCTGCACAAAGCTGGACCAGAACGCAGACACGCTTACAACATCGCAACGATGGGACAAGTTGATTTATTATGTATTCTGACCTTTTAACAGGAGACATATAAAAGTTATTCTTTGTATTCAGACGTTGCCAGGTATGACTTCCTGCACTTCTGTGTCATTCACTAAAATCAAATGATGAAAACGCTGATTATGTGTTTACACACAATGCAAGTTTCTCTTGCGGTCAGCAAAACCTGGCAAGCAGGAAACAAAGAGGATTTGACAATCTGCGGTAATCTCAACAAAAACTCATGCTTAGGCTGAAGAAATATGCTGCGCCTGCCACGGCACGTTTGTATACATATACATACATTTATAGGGCACAGAAATAACTAAGCTTGACAGAACATCTCACGATGGAGTCAAGTGGTAATCTAATGCTCTCCTGTCCCTCCATGAACCTTAAGTGAGCATGGTAGACAAGATCTCACTTCACTTTCAGGCAGTGAATGTTGGTGTACAGTAAATCAACAGCAAAATTCCTGCCTCTGCCTGGCTCTAAAGCTAGTAAATAGTAAATTTAGTAAATTGACTTTTTAACATTAAAACATTGCACTTTATATTACATTTTTATGTAGTCAACAACTTTCAGTTTTCTCCCTTATCAAATGATTTGTCTGTCTTCGGTACATTTTGTAGCTCAAAGATGAGCCTTCTCTGAAATTTGGTGTTGGTAGTCCAGTGAGAGGCCTTAGGCAAGTCATGACTTAGGTAGTAATTTTAGATACCTCGTATAATTAGAGCAGGAGCTATGAAATGAATGGGGATGGTGAATGGAAGCCAAATGTTTAAAGATAAGTTTGGTTCATCTCGCAGCACTAGTTCTGCTGAGTGTAACAAGACCAGTATGTGGGGGTGGATTCCTCTTTAGGTACCCACAGATCACTCTGTTCAGTGCAAAAACATAGTGATGAGTTGTGACTGCCAGATGTTTTAGATTTCAGAAAGTTGGTTTTGTTCATCTGGAAAAAAAGGATTACTCTGCAACAGCAGCCGCAATAAAAAAAAAAGATGAAATGAGCCACAGAGGTTTAATTGACCTTCTTGAAATATGCAGACTATTACATTCTCTAAATAAGCAGTGAGTGTGACCATGATTGCTTCTTAGAGTTTATTCAATGACTAGACACATCTGCTGAGAAAAAAACAAACAAACCAAAAAAACTGGAAAGCCAAATGGACACTGGAGACGGTTCCCTCTGAACAGGCATGGATACTGTAGCTACCCCCTGAAAAAACGGGATGCAGGAACAGCAAAGCCTCCTGGGTAACAGCGTTGGACAATTATAACTCGACCTTGCCTTGTGGGATCAGTCTTTGTCCAGTTATGCCAGAACTTTCTACTTTTCATGCAAATAAAGTACTGATAAGCTTTATCTTAAACGGTGGCCCTTGGCAAGAAGTTAGCAGACAGGAAATTCAATTTCAGCAAAACTCTTCAGGGAGGTTTTACCACCACCAGGCTCTGACAGTCAGTACAGTCTCACTGAAAAAAAAAAACACTGTTTCACTCAGTGAAATGGCAAATAACTGAAGACTGCTGTTTCAGAGAGTCTGAATTTAGAGAAGGAAACAGACATGCTCGAGGGATGTGATTCAGGGGACTGTTGGTTAACTGTCTTTAGGATTAGGTTTGTCACATTTAACTCAAATATTTCCTTTTCAGTACTTTTTCAGCATCTGTTTGTGACACAGTGTCCACTTCTTGTGCTTTAGAGGAAATCTGCCTGATTATTAAGAGATATAACTGGAGATAATGTCTACAAACAGACACAGTTAAGAGAAGAAACATTTAAATCTGAAAATGCCTTCGGAGGAAATCAGTATTACTTATTTCTCATTCCACTGCTTCGTGGTTTTGTTTTTCAACGAAAATATAAAACAGTATGACTTGGTCAAGTCTCCGATTTGAATTCTTGAATTCCTGTGACTGATCTGGCGTTTATGTGGCACACTGCAGCATCTGAGCACGCACTGGTGCTTCACACCGATGCTTTAAGCTACAGTAAGATTAAGTGATTTAAATGTATTTAAATATTTTGTAATAAATGCGCAGTATTAGTCATAGGTCTCTAGCAAAAGTAGATTAGACTGCTTTAATTTTCCAAAAATATAAAGGCAGAGGAAAAAGGAGGTGGGGGGTAAGCGTGATGTCATGGAAGCAGTTTCAGGTGACTCATTTACAATGCAGGCCTGAATAGACAGGCAGACTGCAATGGAAGTGATGACAAGACACGACAGATGGACGCAGACACAGAGTGTAAGGACAGTGAAATACTGTGTGGATTCAATGGTCTATCTAAGATAAGAGATTCTCTTAAGCTGGATTTTCCTATGCAGGCTGGATGTGTGTGGATATATGAAAAATGTGTTAGAACATGTGGGCATCAAAAATGTAAACACACAAAACAATCCAAAGAAGAGGAGCTTTACTGATACAGCTTCTGAGGAAACAGAGCTAAAAAAAAAAAAAATCAGATAACATAGGCTGAGCCTTGAGCAAATCTCGCTAACACACAGAGACACTTACACACATTGAAATATACTGAGATAGCACTTACCTCTTCCACGGAAATAGGAAGAATCACTCGACTGGAAAAGAGGGAAGAATACGTGAAATTACTCAAAATGTTACACTAAAACTCCTGAACTCGTGCTTGTAATGTATACTGAACAATGGGCAGACATGCAGCACAGTTCCATTCACACCAAATATGATGAACAAAAAAAGACATAAAAATCCAGATGATTCTGTTTAAACTGTTTAAGATGCTTCTTTTAATGCGCTAAAAACTCAAAATGTTTTTGGTTGTGATGTAACAGTTGAAGCTTAAGTCTCCAACATGCCCCTGACAGACTCAGGGGCATGTTGGAGACTTGGGCTCATTCTTTTAAAAGTGAGTTCTTCCTCCCCACTGTCACCACAGGTTTCCTCATAGGGTTTTCTCATAGGAAATGGACAATTTTGCTATTGTGAAGTCAGATCTTTTACTATTTTCATGCTACAATGGAACAATTCAAGTTTCTCAGAATCTCTATGTTGAGTTTTTTTTTAACTGCCCTTGTAAAGCACACTGAACTTGTCTGAGTACAAATCCCCAGAAAGGTGTTTTCTTATGCCTTTGGCGGGAAATGAACTTCCTCTGTTAAAATGTCAAGCTGACAACATGAGAAGCCATGTTTAACTATTCAACATAATATTTATTGGAATACCAATTTTTCTCAAATACACACCCTTTTTGCTGTGCCGTGTGAGCAAAGGACAATAGTCTTTATCTGGATGTGCAGTATTGAACTATACAAAGTATGTGACAGCAGCTAAACTTCAATTCATCGTATAACACAAGTTGTTTAGAAGTTATTCTTTAAGATGAAGTAAATGACAAATCTAACAAATCTATCCTTGTGTGGATGGATATGAGACATTTGGAAAAAAATAAAATATTAAAAGTCCCATTTAGTATAAATTTAATGTATTTAAATGTGACCCTCGTATCACTGAACCATTAAAAAAAAGAAGTCATGATCTTTTTGCTGTTGCTTAGTTACAAATAAATCCCCGAATGTTTATATGGGCTATGTGAACGAAAACAGTCAAATTCACTTGAATTCACATAAACAGACATCAGATTTCTCTCATACAAGCAGCATTTGTTGGTTCATCTGCTGTTTTTGTTTTGCCTTTTCCAATAACTGCTGTGTCTAATTTTTTTCTGTTGTATCACTGTGTTTTAAAACAAGCACTGGGGAAATGCAGAAGCCCAACACACGGCCACATACACACATCACCAACAAACTTGTCCTGCAAAATCTGCATTTCACTCATATTGATAAAATGACACATTAAAAAAATAATGATAAGACATCCAACTAGGAGTGCTGAGATAGCATGTTGCAATATACAAGCTACAATAATATTTGTATACATACAAATATTATACTGAAAAATCGACTATTTTTATTATAGTAATCTATTAATGAGTTCATAGTTTTATGCTAATTTATTAATCAACATGTAACTTTGCACTGTTGTTTTGATTAAATAACCCCATTCTTGGATTTTATATTGATTTTTAAAAAAAAAAGATTGCATACAATGAAGAATAATGAATAAAGTCACAATTAGAGAACTCTGGCACATTGATGTGTATGGAAAAATAAAACTTTACAGTCCATCAACGCTAACAGTTACACAGTTGCCCACACACATTCAGAATTCAACATCTTAGCAAAAACTCATTTTGCACAAACATGCAAGCGCACACACACACAACATCTGGGCTCTGTTACATTGCACACAATAAAGCAGCAGCTTAAACATGCTGCACCGCCACAGAATGCACATGTACAGTATGCAGCTTTGTTGATTGTTCTGCGAGTGTGTGAGGTATGCCCAAATTCACTTAATCCTACATCCCATTCGCCACTGAGTGTAATCTGGCTCTGAGTCCCAGCCAAACACTGACCGGTAGACCAGATGCTGCAAAGAAGGCAGGGACTGGCCCTAATGTCAAATGACAATATTTGAGATTTGAATTTACCAATATAAGTTCTGTTTTTGTTTACAAGGGTTGCAGTTACATTGTTTTGTTTTTTTCTGATGCATTAAAATTATTACTGCTCATCTCTTTTTAAATGGTGAAAGAAATATCTGCGTGCCTAAGGCAAATATTAAAATTTAACCGTCGGTGTAAAAAACAGAAAATGTAGTAGTCATAATGCTTCTTCTACACTCACTGACCATTTTGTTAGATACACCTTTTCAGCTGTTTGTTAATGCAAATATCTCATCACCCAGGCACAGGGCGATTACTCGATGCATTTAAGCATGTGGACGCATTTAAGGCGATCTGTTGAAGATCAAATTAAAAGGTAAAGAAGTAAGTTAGAATGTGGCGTTGTTGTTAGTGTCAGAGGGGCTGGTCCGAGTACTTCAGAAAGTACTATATAATGGGAATTTGCCCTACTACCATCTCCTGGGGTTTACAGAGAGTAGTCCAAAAAAGAGAAAATGCAGCGAGCAGCAGTTCTCTGTGGGGGTGGGGGGGTAGTAATGCCAGAGGTCAAAGGAATATGGCCAGACTGCTTTGAGCTGATGGGAAGGCAACACTAACTCAAATAACCATTTGTTATTTGCCTCTCATGTCTAATACTAAAGGGCTACAGCCGCTCAAATTAAGAAAAATTCACACAGGCTAATCAAAATTGGACAATATAAGCTTGTAAAAATGTTGCCTGGTCTAATGAATCTCAATTTCTGCTGCAACATTTGGATGGGATGGTCAGAATTTGGCGTAAACAAAATGATAGCATGGATCCATCCATCTAATGCTTCAAACGAGTGGTGTAATGTTGTGAGGGATGTTTCATTAGCACATTTGAATACAATCTGAACATTATTCAAACACCACAGCCAACCTGACCATCTGACAAATCTCCAGCAACTCTATGATGCTATTACAGGCTGGACTCCCCAGACATCCCATAGTACAATATTGTCATAATACTTCACTTGCAACAAGATATAACTGTGATTTTTAACATTTTGCGATACGCTGAGTATCCCAATAACATATGCCATGATTTGTCACCTTTTTAAATGCAAATTATGTCCTCAAAGTTAAACCTTGTCAACATTTGTTTTATCCAGTAAGATAAGCTTATCTCTCTTCAGTTATGTTTTTCTGCAAAATGAGACTGTCAAGCACATCAACGCTGTCACTAAAACCGACCATAAGATGGAGTCAGTCTGCTACCAGTCAAAGATTGAATGGAGACAAGTTGGCAACTAAATTCAATTTGATTCTGACAATACAGCAATTAGGTGTGATAAATAATAGAAGGTCACATATCTGTTGATATTTATATTTAAAAATTCACATTTAACTCACTCTCTTTGCTCTCAGCAGCCTTCATCTACAGAACAATAACCAGAATACAACCAGCTGATATCCAGTTGAGTCGAATCCCCTCAAGTTATACTCACTGACATTCAGACTGATGGCAACATGCTGGAAATCTGTCTGCATTTATAATTTAGAAAGCAACTATTTGCATACCTTCAGCAATCTCTCTGAGAGTGGTTGCAGTTAATCTACTGTAAATTAGACCGTAACTGTTTGTGGAAAAGCTGCCTCCAATTAGGCAACCTCTGCAATCTCTTTGCAATCAGTAGTGATCATGAGTGCAACACTTTACACACCTGGATAACCATTTAGTTATTACAAGCTGCAATTGGTCACAAGGTGTTTAAAAATTCAATACAATCACCAAACAGCCATTAATTTTTGTCGTAGACACAAAGAGATTACTGTCTTATATTTACTTGTGTGACTGAGCCTTTAGCTTGCTCTGAATTAGGAGTTTCCAGTGTTGGATGGTTTTTTGGTTGAGTGGGTTTAATGCAAGTTTGCTTGTTATGTTATGTTTCTGTATTCGGTGACTGTTGTAACGTATTAAAATATAAATATTTGGTGTCCCTGTATTGAGTATTGCAGTACTCTAATGTATCAATTTTCCCTAGATGCTAGCTTGTCCATTTGGACCAAATATCTGAGAAAATTTTCTAGCACCTTGATCTAACAGCAAAAAGGGAGTCCAGCCTGGTACTAGCAATGTGTACCTAACAAAATGGCCAGTGATTGTATATTTCTCTTACTCTCTGCAAGTCTCCTCGGTCTAATGGTCTTGACAGGAAGATCAGGTGTCACTTTGTTGCTTTAGAAAACAAACACCCATCCTGCATTGCTCGTCTTTTCTTCTTTTCCTCTTTATCTATTTTCCCTCCGTCTTCCTCTTTTTCCTGCTTCTATTCCTTTGATCAAATCAGGTTTTTATTTAAAAAAAAAAAATCAGGTTTTTAAAATCTAAAGCAGTTCCTACATGCATGTACACCTGCCAAAGTGCTTAAGCTGAAGAAAAGTGGATCATGAGTGATGTAGGTCAGTGGTTCAGGTGAGGAGCACTGAGTCTACAGAAACTGGACATGGATCTGTTCTTTTTCTCCTGACCCTCATGATGGTATCTTGGCGTGCGCAACTCTGTGTGTGGATGTGCGTGTACAAGCATCTTTGAGTGTTGACAGTGCGTAAATACATTTAGAATTTAATCGTGACTGATTTAATTAATTTCCAGGCTGGCTGTTGCGGCCCAGAGTCTCCCTAATCACTTCAGATCTTTAGGATGCCATCACTCTGATCCTGTGCTTTTTGTGCTGGGCCATTTATTGATTAAATGTAGAGGATGTGATGGCAAATCAAGACAATAACCAGTGACAGAGAGACTCTGATCAGAATTTTTTCTTTTTTTGACATTTCTGCCACACAGTTCAGGTCTGACCTTGCCACAAAATTGCAACAAACATGCTTATAATAAAAAAATGTGAAAAAAGCCCAAATGTATTTGGATTTTTTTTTATTTATTTAAAAGACGATGCATATCATTGAACACCTAAAGGAAGCACACATCGTTCTTTTTGTGTCTTTTTTTTTTAAACAGGTGAACATCAGCTTCCTGGAACAAAAAAACCTAATATACACACTGCACACTGACACCAGCAAAGAAATAAAGGAACAACATTCTGTCTGTGTGACAATGATGATTAAAACGTGCGGGATTTTCTCCATTTGAAGGACAATATCAGCCCAGTTCATCTGCCATTCATCGGCCTTGCCCTTATTTTAACCACCAGCTAAGAGTGAGCAGGCCTCAGTCAGTTACACAGAGGCCCGCAAAAACGCATTCAAACAATTTGTCAATTTAATTTTTTTCCCCATTTCAAGCCACAAAACCACACTGTGTGCCATTGCATCCTTTCGGCCCAGCAGCCAAATTCTCTAACATCTAACTGGTGCATTAAAACCTCGCCATTTGCCCTTTTCTCCCCCAAGCTTTGCGCCCACCTCCTCTACCTGCCCACTCCCACCGCTCCTGCTCCTTAATCAACCATCCACCCTGGGTCATTCTCCATCTCACTGTCTCCATTCCTCTAGATGCAAATGCTGGAATGCTTCATCGGTCGTTTCACCTTCACCGCGCATCAATAACATGGCCACAGCGGCTAACAGGGATGGACGCTGGCACGACGCGGCTTACGCCAGCCATTTGTCCCTCAGCTCCTCTCGAGCATCCGTCATTTTAGCACTACAGCGGAGGGAATTACTCTGTTCGCCACCACAGTGAAAGCCTCCCGATTTCAGCTGATGGCTTGTGATGCAGGATGTGAAGGGCACAGCCACGCCGGCTGCTGATGCAACTACAGCTGCCGCTAAATTTCCCTCTCAGTTTATTCCGCGAATACTTCAGGGTGGCGAGAGTGTTGCATGCATGAAAAATGATCACGGACACCGAGCAGGTGCGGGGTTTCGACATCACCCTGGCCGCGCTATTGCAATTTCCCGGTCGGGCGACTGGCCACAATGTCAGCGGTGCGAAAGGAGACGGGGGAGACAGGCAAACGCGCACACGTTATCTTTTCGAACACTCTCTCACTTGCACACACACCTACTTACTATTCCTTTATAAGCATTTTTTGTGTGCAGTATATCCCGGGATAACAGCCCAATACAGGTCCAGAAAGCAGGTCGATTCTTCCCTCTGTTAGTCGCTCCTTTTTCCGCTTGCTTCTCTTCCACCTCCCGCTCCCTATGTCATTCTACCTCCACAGTCGCTTATTTTCTTCAAATTCACTTCCTGATCGGGGCCGCGGAGCGGCGTTGCTGTTACGCGCAGAGCACCGAGGCCTGTGCAGAGAACACAACACACAGAAAGCGATGGTTCGTCATGGGAGTGGTCTGCGGTGGTGCCACAGAGCCACAACTCCACAGAACACATCTCACAGACACCAACATATTATAGGGTAGTGTTTGAAACAAAAAAACACAAAAGTAAGTCAACCCTCAGGAAACCAGCTGCACGGTCATTTAAGCGGTCTAAAAGCCATAAAACGTCGCTCATTAAACGTTTAGAGACTTTTTCAACAAATATTATTAACAAACATCACGCGGGACCCGTGCCAAGTTTATTCACACAAACCAGTAAAGCATCGCTGACAACAGAGTAGGGTTTTGACTGGTGTCCCCAGAAGACAACATGCCCCACCCCTCACACCTGTCTTTATTCGGCTCTCCTCCCTGTCCTGTAAGTGCGCACTGCACAAACAGCGGAAATTCACCAGGTGCGAGTCGTTACGTATGTATGAGTAAAATAACACATATTCGACTTTATTGGGTGGAAATGTGTTTTGTGCTAGCAACCAAGGCAGCAGACCCCAAAGCAGTTAAAAAAAACCCCTCATGTTGGCATTCGGGCAAAATGAGGTTCCCTGAACCGTTTTTCTAAAGGGTGTGCAACACTCTGCGTCATCGCTGTCACGATGACGTAGAAGCGTAGTTATTCACCATCATCAGAGTATGACACGGAGATCACCGCTGGCACAGACGCACGGTGCGTCAGCTCTAAACCCTTTCCAACAGAGTCCTTGCATCTGATGTGATTATCCTCTTCCACACCCACTCGATGACAACTCACATGAATTACAGGCTGATCTGTAATTCACTCAAGGACCCCGGAGGCGTTCGGACCACACGTTTCAAGCAAGGCATTACAGATCCCTAATCCATGCAGTCCCTCATCCCGAAGACCGGGATGTGATTGCGAATGTGTGAGTCTAAAATTATGTAACGATGGAGTCTGTATTTATGGCGCATCTGTAACAGTCTGCCAGCATCCACTCATTCCTGTGTCATCTTGGGATTGCCTTTACCTCCTGTAATATCTATCTATCTATCTATCTATCTATCTATCGCCTTTTTTACACCGAGTTCCCAGATGTGAGTGACGTGCAGGTGACAAGAGGAGCTGAGGTGTCAAGTGACAACCATCTGCTAGAGTGTAGTATCAGGTGGCAGTGCTGCCAGGCCTGGTTAAGGGAAACATTTAGTGAGAGTATGCTGGGAACATCTGGTGAGAAAACTGCTCAGAACTCCTCTGTTTGGAAATGTTTGGCCACTTTTCTGCACAAAGGCTTATTTAAAACATTAAATTATGGTAAATGGCCTGTATTTATCTAGCGCTTTTACTAGTCCCTAAGGACCCCAAAGCACTTTACACATCCAGTCATCCACCCATTGACACAAACTGGTGATGGCAAGCTACATTGTAGCCACACCCTGGGGCACACTGACAGAAGTGAGGCTGCTGGACACTGGCACCACCGGGCCCTCTGACCACCACCAGTAGGCAACGGGTGAAGTGTCTTGCCCAAGGACACAACGACCGAGACTGTCCAAGCCGGGCCCCGAACCGGCAACCTTCCGATTACAAGGCGAACTCCTAACTCTTGAGCCACGATCACCCACAAATTATGCCACCTGCTTTGTGGAACTGTATCTATGTTTTGATTTGGTTTAAATATTTAAGATAGTCTATTTACTTGTGGGGATAGGTTAATTGGAAAATCCAAATTGCCATTAGGTGTAAATGTGCGAGTGAATGTGAGCGCGAATGGTTGTCTGTCCCTGTGTGTTGGCCCTGCGACAGACTGGCGACCTGTCCAGGGTGTACCCTGCCTCTCGCCCTATGACAGCTGGGATAGGCTCCAGCGCCCCCCGCGACCCTGAAAAGGATAAGCGGAAGTGGATGGATGGATGGATGGATGGATGGATATTTACTTTTAAATCTTAGGCTGTATATCCAAATTTAATACAACATAACTGTAATTAAGGGTTTACAAGAACTATGAGCCAAAATCTACCCAGCCTTCTTCCTCTGGTGCTGGCTCCAGTGCAGGAATATGCTCCTAATGCTGACCCCTGCTGGCTGGTTGCAGAACAATCAAAAACCAATCTCCAACCAGTCTCAATAAATATTTTTTGGAATAGCAATTGATTGCAAGGCTGTACGTTTGATGAAAGGTGCTGATCAAAGTACTTCATCAGATGACTTTCATCTTGCATTTAAAGATTCCTCAAACCAATCAACCAAACAAATTGCCTCAGAAAAAAATCTCAAAATTGACCACAGTGGTCATTTAATTTCTCATCCTTAATGTGGATGGAACAGATTTCAAGGTAGAAAGGAACACTTTTGCAACTTGATGAGAATTACATGCAGACACTGAGTGCAGTCTGATAAAAAGTGAAAAAAGCAAGAGTCTTTATTAACCTCGGCAAATTTTTTTCATATTAAACAAACTTGCACAACAAAACATCCCTACATCATGACAGGAGGAGCTCTATGCTAACGGCACAGTATACAATCAGACACAGAAGCAGTTGTCAGCAAAGAGCAACTTAAATATGCCAAGAAATTTGAGTGTAAAATAAAATAAATAGAAATAAGAAGGCAGAAAAATCTAAGGCTAAGCAGAACTATTGCTGAAGGGGAACTGTCAAACTGAGCTTTTTTTGTGTGAAAGAAGGGTAAAAGTGCTGTATTTCTCTCAAGAGTAGGCGGACAGACTGGACCAAATATTGACTTTAAGGTAAGGCATCTGAACTGTAAGTAATTTACTCGTTTTTTTATTTGTATTGACATCGATGTGTAAATGGTAATGTCAAAAGCTGTTTTCACTGATATGTGTGATGAACCTTCAGTTAGATTCAACATCGAAATGCACCCTAAATTTAAATTATAAATAGAAAAACTAAAGTCAAAGAGTAAAATAAATAGTCTACAAACACACCACAGAGTGGCTCATTGAATGGATTGGAACCTTCAAAATACTGACATTCATCAATACTACACGATGCACTAAGCTACAGTTGTACTGTAATCAGATGTTAGCTTTAAGAAAAAAAAAATCCACCTCTGTAATTACTGTCCTGACTGTCTTTACTACTCGCTTGAGAAACATCAGCAAAAAGGCTCTTCTCCCCTTTCTGTTTCTCCTTAACAACACTGAATCAAAATCTACTGTACAACAAAAACCCAGCAGGTGAACAGAAAGGTGGTACTTTGCTGATTTTAAGTCAAAGTATGACAAAAACAAAAGAAAAGAAAAACAGATTCTGGTTTTCTGAATGACGTGGGATTCACAGAGGAAGAATCATCCTTTTTATGGTCGTGGGAGAAATACTGAAAGCAGCCTTAGGAGTGAGCTGCACTAGCGTGCGGCTCATTGGGGAGGGGATACAAAAAGACGTCAGAGGAGGATTTGGGGGAATACAGAGGCTGTTGCCTCTTTCCTTTCACAGCCTTTTCTCTCGCTTGTTCTTCTTTTCGCCCTCGCCCTTAGGTTTATTTATCTTTGTAGCATTTGGAAAATGGGCATATAGGTCCGTTGGTTTGTGTAATGTATAGAGAAGTACAAAAACATTATGTTTCATTGTGATATTTAACATTTCAGTTTTCCTTTTACAACCAGCTCCTTGTGTTCACGTGATTGCCCATGTTTCTCAAAATCTTCTTCATCCCTTCTTTTGTTTTCCTATTTTTGCTTTTCTCTAGACAAAGGCCTCTGGGATTTCAGAGCCGTTGATTTTGATGTAGATCTTAGCATTGTCATCCTTCAGCTGCTGCTCTTTGTAGAGAGTCCGTCGGTACCAGATCAGGTAGAGAGGCAGCAAGAAGCCCAGCATGCTTAGTACAAGGAGTCCAACATTGACCTAGAGGACAGTACAAGAATTAGCCACGCCCGAGGGCCTAATCTCTGATTGTGTTCATGTGTATGCATATCCATACCCAGAGTGGATCTCCACCCAGTGGTCCCATCATAGCCAAAAACAGTGGCTGCTGCAGCAGAGCAAACACAGCACTGACCAGAGACTGCATCCCTGTTAGACTTCCAAACAGTGACGAGGGATACCTGAGGACACACGAGACACGGCAGGTATCTTTAGCGTCTTAGTGTGAAGCTGCATCCACATATAGAAGAGTAAGATAATATGTGTGTGTGTGTGTGTGTGTGTGTGCGCATGTGTGAGACTTACACAGCAGCATAAAGGCCACCAACAGCAGAGTGGATGAATCCTCTCACAACCGTGTGTAAGATAAATGACACAATCTAGGGAAAGATAAAAGTATAAGAAATTATTATTCATTATCATTTCAGAAGATCAATCATCAAGTCTATTAGATTAAAAGATTAGCTACTCTTATCTATTTACTCTTACTTAGCTAACAGCTAAAACTGGTTAATCTTAGCTGTTAGCTAGTCTTAGTTATTAACACTTAGCTAACAACTAAGTATGGCTGATCTTGGCTAGCTGGTCTCAGCTATTAAAAATCAAATTAGCAGCTATGAAATAGCTGCTAATTTGATTTTATCATTCAGGATAACTTTTCCATCTATTTCTAGAATTTCTGCTAAGCTAAGCAAAACAGTAAAAGTGTTTTGTTTTCACTTTGTCTTGCAAGAAAGTAAACATAAACACCTAAAAGTCTAACTGTAATGTGCAGTGTAGTATAAACTGCAGTCAACGGAGATTGCAATTTACATCTAGTGTTAAGTGTGAAAAATGTTGGTAAACTCAAGCTGGACTACTCACCTGCAGGGGGAGATTAGGCACTAAGCACGTAATCCCAAATCCAACCAAAAGCAAGTTTGTGAGCAAGAATGCTCGCAGTGCATTGGTCACCTTCTGAATCTTTCTGTCTCTGCGCTTGGTCTTTGTTTCTCCTCTTCAGGTTTGAAACAGAAAGAAGGAGAGGTCATTTTTCAGTCACAATTACCTTTTATTTTTGGCTCTATTAATCACATTCTGTGTCTAGAAATGTTGAGAATTTAACAAAGTGGGTTTGTCCTGCATTGCAAAGGATTGCTAGTATTTGACATACTTGTTTAA